AAAAAAAAAAAAAAGAAATGTATTTATGGTGCTAAATGGCTGTTCGAAATGGGGCCATTATCTGGCCTTTTTGCTGGTGCTGTAAATGTCCCTCCAGAATGTGAAAACCCACAATAAGTTCATCATGCTTCCCAGACGGGACTTTGAGGCAATATTTATGCATATACACGGGGACTTCCAGTCGTGGTTCTTGACCTCTCAGGCACAAACTCAATGCCAGATGCTTTATTGAATGTTTCCAGAGCCATCAGAGGCACAAAGGTTGGGGGAATAGGGAAGCAGAGATTTGTTGAATAGCCAATGGTGACTAGGGGTTGAAATGCCACCCTGAATTAGTCATAGCCAGCAAGAATCATAACTATACATCCTGGGGCCACTTCCAAGGGTACCCTTTTCTTCTGGCCCCAGGGGTGCCCTCTCCTCTAGAGGTCAGTGAGAAAAAAGTCCAGCTGAGTGGGGAATTTCCAGAGATCATCTGCAAGGAAAGAGAGGCTGATGCCTGTCGGGCTGAGCCCCTTCTGCAGGCCTTGGATAGCCACACCCCCATCAAAACGGCAACGCTTGGTTTCAATGGTTCTCGACCCCACTGTGGAAATACACTCTGAGACAGAACTGCTTTGAGATTCCTTATAAAAAGTCTTTGCCGAACCCCCAAATACTATTCCATATGTTTCTGTTTGCTTCCCCATCTCTAAAACTTATACAACGGAAGTGGGAAGAGACTCTTAAAAGAAGGCACCAGTTTTTATTTTTTATTTATTTAGGAAAACTATGTATGAATAGGGACAAGCATATGCCTACAGAAGTGTAGCGAATACCCATGTAGTCGGGTGAGCCTCGGCATCTGATATCTATGTATATTTAATGAGAAGCCACTATTTAAAACATTATATTGCTATAGAATTCTCACATTCTAGGAAATAAGCATTAATCAACATAGGTGGAACATGCGCTTAAGTAAACACGGGTGGGCCTATGGTCAGGAAAAATGAAGCCCCCTGTCGAGTGTACATGGGCTGGGATTCGGCAGGGGAGGGTGGGGAGTGAGAGGGAGGAAATTGCTCTCTTAATAAAGTAGGGATGTAGGCCCGGGCCTGGCAGTTCTCAAGGAAAAAGCCTGTGGGCCTGGAAAATGGAAAGAAGAGCAGATATGGAAGGGAGGGGACTAAAAAAGAATAGCGGACTTGAGAAAACATGACAGCAGCAGAGACACTATAAGCAGGACAGCCAGCAAGAAGGACCCGGGCAGGGAGGGCAGAAGGGACTCATCTGGCACTGAATTGCAGGTTCTCGCCTGTTCTGGGAAACACTCATCGGATTCTGGTCCCTTTGGTGCTTTGGGAAATGACAGAGAGCCGGGTTTGGGATGGGCAAAGCAGCCTTAGGACGTGAGAAGATGGACAGGCCACCCAGATTCATCAAAAGCAGGAGCTTATAGCAAGAGGTGACCGTGGGGGTGTAAGGCCTCACCGCCGCCCCCGAATCTAGGGGAGAATCAGGAATCTTGGGGAGGTCGTGACGTCTATAGGCAGAGCACAGTGGATGGCCTCGAGCAAGTGGGTTTGGACAGTAAAGAAAGAGGGTGGCTGCACAGGCCGGAGGACTTAGGGGCCTCCAGGGAGCTGACACTGGGTGCAGCTATACATACCTGTATACACGGACCAAAAGGGAAGTCCCCTTGGGACTCATTATTTCCAGACTTGCTGTTCTGAGTCGTTCACTGGGCAGCTAGTGAACTTGGGCTCACGATGCATTTTTATTTCTTTGGCATTTTAAATGGCTTTTCAGGGGTTTTTTGTTTGTTTGTTTGCTACAAAGTAGAGAGCTTCTAGGAGGCACAATTCCTTCTTTTTAATTCCTTCAATTAATGAAGTGCTGATTTCTTGTGTTTTCTAATTGAAGCCATTTTTCCTCCTCTCACAAGTGTAACACATAATTGCCCCACACTTGGAGAAAGGCCAGACGGGAATGAACTACATTGTTTTCAAAATGAACATGCTTTTATTGGTTTTTCACACTATAAAAGGAATTTTTTTAAAGACCTATTTTGAGAAATCAGACGGTTCGGAATCCAAAAGAGGAAAATAAAAATCACTGATTCCCTACCACACAGCTTTTTTTATTTTATAAAATTCCGTAATAGATAGTGTACAGTTATGTAATTGGCTTCATTTTTCTACAGCTCTACATTGGAAAGGCTTTGCCATGTCAATAGATATGGAGCATCATTTTCAATGGTTGCAGAGTATTCTGTGATAGACTCCCTTCATTTCTGTAACCAACCTCTCATTTTGGGACATTTTTGAAACCATGGAAAGGTAAATGGCTTTTCACCAATGTTTCTGCACACTTGTGCAGTTATTTCCTAGGGACACATTCTAGAAGTGGAGGTATTCCCCTAATCCAGTACTCTGTGTATTGAGTGCACACAAACGTGTCTGCACACACTGGGAATAGGGCAACAATCAAGACTGACATGGTCCCTCTTTCAGAGTTGATCTGGTAAAGAATTCAGGTATTCAACAAGGAATTCAAATAAAGTGTGATGTACTTTCAGGAGGAAGGTGCATAGTATTGTGGATCAAAAGACGTGCGCTTTTTAAAAGGCTGCTGCCACTTCTTAGCTAATTGTTCCTAGGGGAAACTTGTGCTAATGTCTCCTCCCTCCAACACGTTTTGCAAGCCCCTACGCCCTCACTCCCATCAGCAGCTATGTGAGCCCACTTCTTTTTCACTGTTGCCAATCCCAAAAGCCAAAATTGCTTCTCATTGTTGTGTTCGGGGGCAAGGCATTATGTATCATTACCTTTCTAGTGACTTTTCCATTGTCCTACATTTGTAAGAAGACACTTAGCAACCCAACCTTTGTGTGTGTGTGCTTTCAAGATGCTAATTGCTTACATTTCCAGAGGTATGTTTAAAGGTCGTACCTGGAGCAGATTGTTCAGAAGCTGGAGCTGGTACCTTAAAGCCTCCTTTGTGCAAACCTCCCATCCGCACTGTTTCCATGGCACCTTCACGTTTCTTTCCATCTATGCAGGGGCTGCTCTCAGCCCTACTTCCCCTCAAATATACTCCCCTCGGCATCAAACAGCTTGGAGGAGGACTCCTCACAGATGCATACCTGTTCTTGACTCTTTCTGCACAAAATGCATCCGTGCCGAAGGCTCTGGGGTGGGTGGAAGGAGGGAATAGAAGGTTAGGGACTTAGGTGACCAGCCAGTCTAGAAGAACTGGAGCATGTTGGTAAGTCCCACAATCAGCTTATTTGACCAGTCACTGAGCTACAATCAAATCAGTCATTTTTGTCCTGTAAATCAACCTGAGAAATAAAGTGCCATTCATTCATTTGCTCAAGTAATAATTGTTGAGCTCCTCATCTGCGCAAGGCCTCTGTGTCTGAGGATATACAGTGTGAAGATCATTAGTTGTTATCTATTTCAGACCCACAGACTGGGAAAGTCATCTTCCAATAGGTGGGTCTGGCAGGCCCCACCAAAAGGTGAGCAGTTCATTATACGTATTGCCCATCTGGGAAAACCAAAGCCGAGCGGCAGAGCCCCTGGGGAGCAGACTTTCCCCGGGATCAAAGAGGACACCAGCTCTTGGGTGACCTGAATCACCATGGCACCTGCTGCATGAGGACAGACAGCCCTGGCGCCCGTGACCGCACTCTCCTGTGGAGTGACAATATCATCACGGAACCGTCAGAAACCTTGGGACATCTGACTTTTGCATTCTACTGCCATGTTCCATAGCTGTTTCTTTTTTGCTTTGCCAGTGCCCCATGGAAAATGCCAGCTTGTCCCCTTTGTACATCGAGGAAAGGGACTTTGGGCATGGTCAGGCTAGACGTTCCTCCCCTGGGGGTGGAGGTGCCCCCCGCCCCCTGGCGCAGAAGGATGAGGGGGGAACCGTAGCTCTGTGAGTCCAGCGGGACTTCACCCTCCTCCACCCAGTAAGATTCCTCTTGGGCTCCTGGGGCTTCTCCTCCTCCTCTCTCGATGTCCTGTCTCCTCCCTTCTAACCTTAGCTCAGTGACAAGCTGAGAAGCAGCCAGACCTCCTCAGACCCCAACTACGGACCACAGAAAGCTTGGCCCTCATCCCCAGAGCTGCCACCGAAGGGACTGACCGCGCCTGGGGAGGAGGACCTCTGACTGCTGTTTTCACCGGAGCACCTCCCGATGTTCACACTTCGGTAGGAGAATAATAGCAGCCTTTGATTTAATTACAGAAGAGCTTTGTTCTTCCAGTACAAGAAACCCTCAGCAATAGGGCCTGGCCAGAAAATGCACCAACCGCTCTGTCGAGAGCTGAGCGCTGCAGCACTGAGCCACGACTGAAGGGCAGCGTCTCAGGTTGTTCATTAAATAGTTCCCGTAGTATTGTGTTTTCCTTGTGTTTTGTAAATGAGTTTTTCACAGCTGACTGGGTTATTTGTGCCCTCCTTCTGCCGGCAACGATTTGGGTCTTTGTCTGTACAGGAACCCCACAGCACGCCCTGGCCTGAAACAAATCAATGCCAAGATAAGCCTAACCCAGGGCAAATGGTTGCTAACGGCTCTGCTGCCAGAGGGGAGCGCCCACACTGCCAGGCAGGCCGGCCCTGGGCTCGGGAGGTGGCACAAACCAAACCGCAGCCCCGGTGTTGTCCGCAGTGTTGGAAACAAAGTGTTAGGAATCAAAAAAAAACGATACTATCGTGTGGGAGTTGTGGTAGCCTGCCAATCCTCTTTATTTGTTTATTGACTTTTATTTTTAGACTTTCAAACTGTTCCTATTGTTAACGCCTCTGCGGTCATGTGCAGGGGCAAGGGAGTCACACAACCAGCCAGCTGACACCAGCCAGCCGCAGAGCCGGCCCCTGAAATTGTTTAAAACGATCTCACGGAAGGTGGGGATGCATGGGAGCTCTGGGGCGCTGCCAGTGTTAAGTGCAGTTTGGAACTGACACTTGGTCTCTAGGACAGCAAAAAGGAGGGCACGACGCTCCTCACAAGTGTACTCGTTGATGGTCGGGGGCTAGTGGCTGGAAGCCTCACCAAGGGAGCGAGGAAAGGCAGAGGCCCTGGTACAAGTCTGAAACCTAGTGGCTGTGCCACCTCGAGCTAGTCTGCCTCACAGACTCCGTTCCCCACCTGAACAAGAGGAGGAATATGGGGGGGGCGCGGTGGGAGGGACTTGTCACCTATGCAACGCATTTTTATTGGGTCTATCTGTGTTCTGCAAACTGTCTAAGCACTGTGGGTACAGTTGTGAGTCACAGAGGGGGCCCTGCTTTCTCAGTTATACTGGGTGTCGTGAGACGTGAACAGGCAATAGTAACAGTGTGATGAGTACCACAGGACGGGAGAAAGTCCGGATGCCACGGCCCCCATCACTGGTCAGGGGCTGGCTTCTCACTGGAGCCCCAGCGCCCTCACCCTGGCCTGCGGGCGGGCTCTAGGGTCAGTCCCGCCTCGGTCCTGCTGGAGTAGGGGGAGGGGCGGCCGGCCCTAAGAGTGACAGGCCAGGGTCTGTGGCAACCCTGCAGGTGGCGCCCACACACCATGCCGCAGTCTGGGGTTTCTCAAGGCCCTGCTGTCCCTGGGCGGCTGGGCAGTTAGTGGTAACCTGGCAGAGGAAACCCTGAATGCTTGGTAGTTCCTATCCACCTGCCACGGATGTCTGGTGAACTACAACTCCCGATGTCCCGTCCCCTTGATCTGACCAAGTGGGTTCCAAGGCCGGGTCAGAAGAAGCCTTGCACCAACTGCTGTGCTCTGCCAGCTGGCGCACTCTCGGGCAAACCGCTGCCAGGGAGAAGCTCTACCGCCCGGGCAGAGCGGCCTCAGGAAGAGAGCACCCAACCAGCCCGCCTGGGCACACAACATGTGACTACAGACACCTTCCTGGACGGCAGGTCAAGTGCCTGCAGGGGACTCCAGCCCCAGCCAACACTGACTGCAACTGCGTGAGAAAACCTCAAGGGAGAATCACCCCGCTGAGCCCAGCCAAGCCTCTGAACCACGAGATAAAATACACTGTCGTTTCAAGGCATTAAGTTTTTTGGGTGTTTGGTTACCCCAGACGACCTCCAAGGTAGCCCCACCTAGGGCCTACCGTGCAATCAGATAGGCCAAAGTGGTTCAGCAGAGCTCTGCTTAAAGAAACAACATGAGAAATTTTGCCTAAAAGAAATGAATGAAGGCCTCATAAAAGCATTGTCCTATTACAAGTGCAGCTTTCAAAGCACTTGTCAGCACTCCTTAAAGGGTAGTAGTCATTTATCAGAAGCCTATGAGCAGAAAAACAAAAAGACAAATGTTGGAAATAACTAACTTTTAAAGATAATTCGGTGCCAAAGTGAAGCATCCTAAAATTTGTAGTGTATGTAAATGAGACAGTTATGCAGTGACCAAAATGGAGTTCACACACAACGTTTCAGGAGCAAACACAGATGGAAGACATCATGAAGTCTACCCTTCTTGAGAAGTTCCATGTCACAACCACGATCCAGCTCACTTCACTCCCCAGACTGCTTTAGAATTTGTTAACCAGTCTAGTTTATAACCAGGGAGAGACAGAACTGAAAACGGAATTTCCCAGGTTGGTGGTCCGCACAGCCCAACTTCACCAGACAGCGGCCAAACTTCCATTTTTTCTAATACTTCCGAAGAGGAGCTTCTACGGTTTACGCAAGGTTTAATGATTCAATAGTTCAACGAGAAGATCTATTAGCCCATGAAGCCTTCCATTAGCCCATGAAGCCTTCCAAATGCGTTGGGCATAGAATAAAATTCCACCCTTGTAGGTGCTGTGAACAACTCCTGAAGGGTTAGAAAATATTTGCCCATGTTGTTTGTAAACCAAAGCATTTGCCCAGTTTTGGAATCATTGGACAGAATCCGAATACTATGAAAAAATTGTAGGGAGTGAATTGTAGAAACCACGAAAGTATTCAGTTCAGGGCTGAAAAAAAAGGCCTCCTTCCCCCACAGGGAACCTTGTCAGCATGTGGGCAGGGAAGCATGGAGAGGCCCCCTGCTGAGTGGGCTTCCGTGAGGGTGCTGTGCAAATAAATCAGGCAGTGTTGGTGTTCCCACAGGGAGCTGGGCTGCGAGGTTGGCCTGTCCTAGGGCAAGGCAAGAATAAGGTAAAGGATTCTGGGATATTTTTATTTAAGGCTTCTGTCAGTAATTCAATAAGAAGATCCATTAACCCATGAAACCATCAAAATGTGTCAGGAGTAGAATAAAATCACACGCTTGTTAGATATTATTGAAGATTTAGGGCATCTTTACCCTTTTTGTTAGCTGGCACTTCCCCATAATCCAAGGGGGGTGGTGAACAAGGCCTCCAAACCAACCAGGCATGAATGAGAAGAAAAGAGGTGAGTGCAATCTATGAGAAGTGGGGTTTTCTTCCCTAGCAGGCAGTTGTTTATATTTCCTTTTAAAAATTGATATCTTCCAGATCTTGTTATAACTTGGTGAGGAAGTCTAGGCTCCCTACCTCCTCTTTGCTAGTATGGATGGCAATGGGTCTAATATTTTCTGTGGTATTTGGCTGGATCTGAGTGGTTATTGTCTAAAATTGTCTATCTGGAAAATTTTCCTGCTCCTTTCCTGATTCTTTGGCTAGAAAAGTAGGCTTGTCTTCGGACTTGTTCTTTCTTTAATGCCTGTTGATGCTTCCCCATTGCCAGTTTCTTCAGCTCCAACTCTGGAATAGATGAGGCACAGAGATAACACAGGTAACTCACCTTGTTCCCTTGCCATTCCTTGTAACTGAGGCCAGAAGCCAGTGCACCTTCTTCACTCCCCCTTTCAGAATTTTATGGTTGTTTCAGTTACAATGTCTAGAGTTTTAATTTCTACTTGATGAAAGGAATAGGAAAAAGTATATCTACTCCATCTTCCTAGAAGCAGAAATCCTTAGGGATTATTTTAAACCAGTTTAGTTAAATCTATTTCTAATATTGAAATATTGCTTTTGTTATGGAAGGGAATCTTATCAAGAATATGGTAATTGTGAGTATTAAAGTAATCAAATCTCAAAAAAAATTTGATATCTTCCGGTGAATGTCTCTATGACAAAAAAGAAAAAGTTCTTTCTGACAAAGAATTCTCCTCCTTTAAAAGCGCTGGCCATGCGTAGATTTTGAAACTGAAATGTAAAATCAAGGTAATTGGATTGGTTCACTAGAAAAAAACTTATCAGGTGTCCAGAGCGCTCAGCTTTGCCTTCCACTGTAAGCAAGGTCTGCAGGAAAGATACTGGGGCTCCATGGGGAGGAGGGGAAAGAGAGAAGGCGGAAGGACTGTGGGCCAGGAGTGCTTTGGGGGTTTTAAGAAAGGGAAGACACCTGAGTAGTGAACATGTCAGAAGTAAGACAGATATAATACAGGAGCTGGTGCAGGAGAAATGGAATCATCGAGGAGACAGAGCTAAAAAGCCCAAGGAGAAGAATTAGAAAAACACTGTCAGAGAAAATGAAGGCACGGGTGTGATGGGAACCTGTGGGTTTCTAGTAGCTCTTCTGCTAGTAGTGACTCCACCACAATGAGAAAAATGAAACAGAATCCATTCAAAATAAAAATGAGCTAGTAGGGGTATGGGAAAAATAGAAGTTTCTATAGCCAGGATCCTCCCCTGACCCTAAACTACTTGATGACGTAACCAGCCTCCTGCTAGGCTGCTGCTTCCACACCCAGAGGCAATAAGCTATTACTGACGGAGTCACTATATGAAGAGCTCTGCCCAGTGCTCTGGGGGGAGGCAGAGATGGAGGAGGCTGGCAGACCTGCAGGCCGCTGAACGCAGATGTGATCCTAGTGCTCAACCCACCACCAGGAGAATAAAGCCAGGTATAAACCCTTTTACCCCAGGAAAGTTGCGTTGTCATTTCTCAGTCTCACCAAATCCATAGTTAACTTGCCCAAGGCTGAAACCCTCAGACAAGGCAAGGAGCCGAAAGAAAGACATTTCATGGTACATTCCATTTTTTTGTTCAGATTTTGATCTGATGAATATTTTTATTACAAGACCCAGAAGGATGTCTTTATTGATAATATTTCTGACAGTTTCCTTCCCACCCCAAAAGATGAAAGAGAAGCCACCTCCACTATCAGAAAGCATTTGGGGGGGACTCTGAAAATCCACAGTGGTGGTCAAGCAATGGCTGACAACTTAGGGGCTGGTGGGGCTGGTGTTGGTGATGGGGTGTGGGTGGGGAGGCTGCATGATCTGGGGAGGGTCCCGACACCAACTGAGATTCTGATCACAAATTATCCCAAAGCAAGAAGGGACAGGGTGGCATGTTTCCCCACCAACAATCCAGTTCTCCTCACCAGCTGGGTGTCCTAAAGGTAACCTGATTCTAACACTGTTTACCTGGAGATGACATCAGATCCCACAGGTTAAGCACTCAATCCTACAAGATGGACCCCCTGATCCCCCACTTCAGATGCCAGGCACAAGTCTAAGTTGTCACCTGTGCTTCTGAGTCACCTTACTGTAAATCACAATACCGCATGTGTGTACATGGGAGATGGGAGCTGGCTGGTGGTGTAACCTAATCCCGAGGCGCCTCCTACTCTCAGTAGCAAAGGTGACTTCTAGGGACAGGGGAGGCCCTCCTGCACGACTGGGCTTCTCCCCCTCCACACCCCACACCCCCAGGCATGCTCATGGGAGTGACTGGCACCGCCACAGGTCCATGGGTGCAGAAACTGATGGGAAGGACCCAAACAGGAAGAGCCCAGAGGGGATCCTCTCTGAGCAAAACAAGCTCTTTGAGAAAGGGAAGTGGAGATCAGATACATGTGAAGACTTACAGGCACTGTGACCTCAGGAGAAACGATCATGAGTTAAAAATTCGCAGGGCGCTAATGTCTGTCATTTACTTTCAGTTGCATACAACAAGATAAATTAAATAGAGGGATATGTAATGGATAGATGTGTGATAAACAGAGTACAGTGTTATGGTAGAGCCAGGTTGTTGCTTTTTCGGTGAACTCCCTTCCACTTTTCTGTATGTTTGAAAATGTTTATGATGACATGGGGGGAAAGCCAGACCAGGTGAGCATGATCTAAACTGGCACCTGGAAATCTAAGAGAAAAAGGGAAGCCCTCCCACAGAGCTTTGTTTCAGCAGATACCTTTTTTTAAAAATGTATCTGTTCCACCTTTACTCATTTCCTAGGGGCAAATAATCAAGGTCCCTCTGAATATATTCAATCTACCACTGAGAGGAATGAAATGGTAGAATTAACCAGCACGACATTTCACAAGGGAGACTTTCACCGTAAAACATCTCCTAACTCTTACTGGTAAACTTCTCCCCAGAAAAAACTCCTCTTCCCTTTATGTATGTAAGTTCATTAAAAAAAAAAAAAAAAGGCTTTTGCTTAGCTCACATGGTAGGTGTCAGGAATTTGTACTGAAGTGTTTGTTTCCTAGAAGTCCATCCCTATGTAAGATGATTACTGACCCCCTCCCCCACCCAGAAGGACCCAGACATACCTACAGTCTTTTTGTCTGTGGCGTAAGAGTCCCCATGTGCAAAATAAGGAATTAATGCCACAAATACTGGTGCCAATCAGGGAAGCAAGCTGGTATCAACAGCGCTAAAACTCGGGATGCCAGGAGTTCAGAGATACCTGTTCACAGTGTCCTAGCCCTCTGTGGGGGATGAGCAAGGACTGGGCAGGAACACTGTTAGACAAGGAAGTTCCTTTTAGGTTTCTTGCACTTGCCAGCCTTGGGATCTTGGGTAAATAAGTTTGTTGATTCTTAAGTATCTTGCCTGTAGTATGAAAAGGTTAACGCTCCCTTGCAGAGTCGTGATAAGGGTCAGGTGAGATCATGAATGGACCGGAACCTAAGCTGTGGGCACTGATGGCTTCCTGATGTTGGCGGGAGTCAGTCAATAACCCACACCGAAGCTGCTTGTCGGGAGGGGTTTCAGGGAACATCCCGGAGAGGCGCGCTCGTAAGACTGGGGACTTGGAAGAAGGCTCAGGAGAGAAAAAGAAAGGGGCTCCCAGAGGCAATGAGGAGACCCACCTGGTAGAGAAAAAGAGAGCAACTGCAATATGGTTTGCAATGTGTTAGGTAAGAGAGAGTAAGGGGAGATTTATTTCTGGCCGTGACCAATGAGACTCCTATTGGACCAGCTGTCCCACAGATAACAGTTATAAGTTGCACAAAATACAAATCAACACTCCCCGCACCGCCCCAATCTTAAAGGTCCTGAGAAGTGCCATAAACAGGTAGGTTCTGGAGGAAAAGAATGGCACTGGGTGAGGGGTTTTTCATGTCTTCAACTGCAGTCTGCAACCTACGGAGTAGCCGAAACTCAGAGTAATCCACCAACACAGTTCTTGCAGGGATGTCCCAGTTTCAGCACAGAAAGACCCACGGTCCAGGAAAGCCCGCATTTCTGGGCAAACCAGGGTGGTTGGTCCCCCTACAAAAATTCCAACAGAAAACCTGTAGTTGTTCGGGCCTGAAGAGACAACAGACATCAGAGTCACTGCGGCCTCTGGAAGGTGAGAGCGGAATGCCAGAAAGGAGGGTGTGGGTGATGGGGAGCTCCATTCCTGTGTGTAGCTCTGTCCACATCTCTGGCTGACTTCTGAACACTACATACCAAGAGCAGGTGTATAGCAGCCCAGCTGAGGATAAAAGAACTGAACTGAGATTTCAGCTGCTGCCTGAGACAAGGAGAGTGCAAGATGAATCCAGACCAGTGCCTGGGAAAACAGCAACAAAATCAACATGTTTCAGAGCCACCACGGGATCCAGAGACTCCACAGCATAGTGTGCACACTGTCCAAGATCCAATCCAATACTCAACATGCCTGCAGAAAACAAAAAAAGAACATTCGACAGATTTTCAAGGGAAAACAATGCACCGTGAGATAACCAAGATACAGCAATCCTTGTGTGCTAATTTCACAGATGCTCCTATCAGGTTGAGACACTTCTCTTCTCCCCTAATGGGCAGATAGATTTTTTGGTTTTGCTTTTATCCCAAATGAGTACAGAATTTTCCCAAATATTTTTTCTGCATCCGTTGAAATAATTATGTGGTATCTCTCTTCTATTCCATATATATGACCAATTATACAGATTTTTTAGTGTTAAACCAACCTTGCACTCCTGGAATAAAATCTGCTTGGTCATGATATTTAACCTTTTTATAGATTGCTGGATTTGCTTAGCTAGTATTTGGTTGAGGATTCTTGTGTCAATATTCATGAGGGATACTGGCCTCTATTTTTTTTTTTTGTAATGGTCTGTCAAATTTTGGTATTAGGGCTATGCTGGTCTCATAAAATGAATTAGAAGGGTTTCCTCCTCCTCTGCTTTCGAAAAAGAATCATTTTTTTCTTACATATTTGATAGAATTCATCAGTGAAACAATATGAGCCTGAAATTTTCCTTCTGAGGTTTTGATAACAAATTCAATTTCTTTACTAGATATCAGGGCTATTCAAATCTTCTGCTTTATCCTGTGTCAGTTTTCATAAGTTACTCAGTTTGTCTAATTTCCTCTAAACTGCTTAATTCAATGGCATAAAGTTATTCTTAATATTCTCTATTATTCTTTTCATATTTATAGGCTCTGTAGTGATAACCCCTTTCATTCCTGACATTGGTGGTTTGTATTCAGCATGTATCAGTACTTCATTTATTTCTATTGATGAATAATATTTCATTGTATGGATATACCACACTTTTATTTATCCATTCGTCAGTTGGTAGACATTTGAGTTCACATTTTTTGGCTCTTATGTATAATGATGCTATAAATTTTCATGTGTACATTCTCGTGTGGATGCCTCTAGTTTGTAAATTGCTGTACTACTTTGATCCCAACAGGACTCCCCAATACCACCCACTTTCTGTCCCTCATTGCTGTGTAAGTGGGGTGATTCTCTTGGCTCCTGCCCCTGAAAGGTAAGTGGATCATGTAGACTGAGCTGGATCAAGCCTGGGGTGAAATCTTGAGGTGCAACAGACACCTGGACCCTCAGGGGTCACACTTGGAGAAACTGAGCCGCTACGGGACATACAGAAAACAACCCAGCAGGTACAGAATTTTATGACTTGGTTGAGAACCCTTGCTAAGGATTCTGGGGCAGTATGTAATTTGTCAATTCATGTAAATGGATGCATATATTGTTAAGCAGTGTATTTTGCCTATTAGCTTTGTCCATATGTACCCCTTTATCCCTGGAAATCCTTAGGAAAAACTTGGTACACTCTGCAGGAAAATTTCCCTCCTTGGAGTCCATTTCCTTCTCTGCACTTTGTATATAACTCTGAAGGAGAAAGTGGCAAAAATTTATTGTTCTTTCACATTTTTATCATTGACCTTACCCAGAACCACTTCTGAAATGTGAACAGTTCCTCGTGTTAAAGGAGAATTTGGTAAGACCTTCATTTTTTATTTTCCTTTTAAAGGGCTTGTGGGTGAAATTATTGAAAGAACTTTATATCTGATAATAGACTAGGTCTTGAGTTGACTTAATAAGTAAAGGAAGGAACAGAAAGAGGTTAACTATGTGTGAATTTATAGATGTTTTGGTGTCTGGGGCCCATGTAAATAATATATCACCTCACTGTAAATATTAACTCTGCTAGAGTCTAGGTCTTTAAACACAAATTAACAGGAGCTCCAGGGAACGCAGAGATGCTCTGCTCTTAATGATCTTTTTAACACCAGCTCCAGGTACTTAGGACCCTGCAGGGAATTCCTCGAATGTGTAGTCCTTAAGATGCTGGCTTCCAGGGCTGAATAGCTTGTAAAGGAAAAAAGAAAGGGAATCTTCTCCATATAAAATAAGAACTAAAACACTCTTGTAATTAATCTTTTAAGAACAATTACAGTAATTGCTATTGGCCTGGAGACTCCAGTCTTTAAAACATTCAGTAGGTGATTTGTTTTTAAGGCATCAAAGTGGAACCTTTGGCCAAGATTATTAGCAGAGGCAAGGCTTGTCAGGAGGCACGGGGCTCACACATGACCCCCGGGTGTGAGTGTGGACCCAGCCTGACGCTCTTCTCCTCTGGCCACAGCAGGAGCTCCCGTGCTACCCACCTCTGGCCTTCCTGGCCTCACCCCTTTTCTCCAACACTGCCTCCTGGCGCCAGTTTTCCATATCTGCCCAGTGAAGGCTTTCTCGGTGCTTCCAGAGTCTTCTTTACACTGCCTTGGCTCTCTGAGAGCCCTCTTCCCACCTCTCTCCCTCATCACCAACAGAGCAGCCGCCTTTGGAAAGCCATTGTCTTTTCCTGTGTCCACCTGTGATTTCTCCCCAGGGAGGCCCACCTCTCTTCCACCCCCTCGTCGTCAGCTGCCCCCGCCCACTCCTTCCTCCTGACTGCACCTTGCTTTCCAGGCTGGTGACCCCATGGGACTTCTGCGCCCAGTTGTATGGGCTTCAGAGCTGAGCAGCCTCAGCTCTGCTACTACTTGTGTGACCTTTGCAATTTGCTTCACTTCTCTGAGCCACGGTTTTCTTTTTTCTAGATAGGAATGTTTTGAGGATTCAACAAGATGTTTCCTGAAGCGTCTAGTATATGAGAGGCATCCAGTCTGCACTTCATAAATGAAAATGACCTTTAAAAGTCCTGGCACATAAAAGATACCCAGTAGATAATAAATACAGAGGACAGGAGGAAACTTTTAGAAGTGATGGATATGTTTATGGCATAGGTTGGAGCGATGGCTTCACTCACCAACTTGCATACCTTAAATATGTACAGCTATTTATGTGTCAATCATACCACAATACAGTGGCTAAAAAATGAACAAATTGATGCTTTCTTCCAAAAAAGGAAAATGATAATTAAGCTCCTGCAAACATTTTTAAAAAATAAACAAAAAAAGATGCCCAACAGATGCCAGTCATTCTAGTCTGCCTGCCTACCCATTGTGCCCTTCTTGTTTGGGACTGAGCTCTGCATTCCCATCAGGCTCCCCCTACCCAGGGCTTTAAAGGTGTATTTCAGGGATGAAGTAATGGGGATTGTCCCAAGGAAGTTCTGCGTTCTGAGCCCCATGTAGGCACGTGGATCATGGTAAACAGCTTGACTGATCGTGGGAGGTACCACAGGCCATTTGTCTGTTTGCAAAGTACTTTGGTATGTTTAAATATACTTGATGGGTTTAAAAAAAAAAACTATTCTTTTTCCAGTAACAAAAGTATAGTGTTTAGCCAATGTATAAATTATAATGGGAGAAGTTGGTCATCCTTCCTTCCTTATTTCAAAACCAACCCACTATTTATATTATTTTAGGGTGTAAGATGATATTAAATACACGCTGGAACCCAGGTTTTCCTAAGTCTCACCAGTGTTTGGAAGAGGTACTCTGAAGGGGAATTGCTTGATTTTCAAAGGCTCTTTGCTGCTACCTGCTAGCACAGGTACGTCACCTCTCTGCGATTCCACCCAAGAAATTCCTGCCGTGCTCAGAGAGTGTCCCCTCTGTACTGCTCCACGCTGCCAGTGCCCACCACCCCCAGCTCCAGCACCTCGTGCTGTATTGTAGGGGCTGTTGGAGGTCATTTTCCTGCCACTCTCTTCAGTTGCTCTTTGACATAGCTCCTGGTGGGCTGTCACTCAGGGTACTGTCTGCCTGCTCTGGGCCCTATGCCTTGGCTTCGGGAGATCCGGGCACCATGCCTCGTCTTGCTGGTCCCAGGGAATGACTATTGCCCACTGGTGATGTCACTGATGTCCTGAGTTCTCGTGACTCCCAACCTGTGGAATAGCCAACTGTCAACGGCAGGGAGTCTCAGAGCACTATTGCTTCCACCCTGGTATTTCATAGATTGTGTGGAAACAGATCCTTCCACTGTCAACTCATTGTCTTCTCTCTCTCTCTAGACACGTGTGTGTGAAGTAGCCTGGGCCAGCAACAGGACAGAGGGACACCCACCCCCAAGGTATTCAGAAGCTCCGTGTGCTCAACTTTATCTGCTTGCGTGAGCCTCTCTCCAGGAAGCTCCGAAGCTTTCGAGAAGGATTCTGTGGGATCACCACACCAGGTTTCCAGCAATAAAGCTTAATTTCATTAGGGAAGCTCCTCAGCTCCCAGAAAGACACCTCTGCTGGGCCCCTTCTGCCTGTCCACCATGGACCGCAGAGGCTATTGTCCCCGTGAGACCTCCACCACATGGCCTGACGAATAAGCTATTTTTTGCAAACTTCTTTATAAGCTTCCATTTTTCAAAGCTTGACAGCCTGTCCAATTCTTCTTAAGGTATAAATATACTGTCTCATAAAGACTGATCGAGAATTTGTTGGGCAATCACTTAAAAGATAGCTGGCTGCCATAGTCCCGCATTCTAGCAGAGTGTACAAATAATGCTAAGGTTTCATCCGTAGTTTTGAGGAGTCTAAGAAAAAAAGAATCAAGGCTCTTTGTTGCAAAGAGGGAGCAACTGAAAAATGGTCTTAAAACCATAGTTCAAAGCAATCCAGTACTTCCCCCAACAGAATTAAAAGACAAGGTGTAAGAAACGGCTCAAAAGAGGGTATCAGCCAGTAAGGCAGGTGCCAAATGCCAAAGACGGCACAGAAGTTGGCTTTTGTTGATGTCTTGTGAGATTCTGGGAGTTTGCTGGTCATATTTCATTCCTTAGGGGAATCGGTCTGGCATCTCACCACCAGAGGCACGCAAATATCCATTTTGTTGCATCGAACCTGCTCTCTGGTCTCTCCACTCTGATTCTGCTGCTCCCAAGTGCATTCTAGAAGGATTTCAGGCAGTACCTCAGAAAAATAGTCCCTGGGAACCTGGTGCCCTAACAAAATGCCCACTTTTTCCTCAGAGGCTAGGACAATGCAAAGTTGGTCCTCAGGAGGAGGCTACGAGTGTCAGGCAGGCAGGCATCATTATTACGCACAGACAATTAAGTGTGGGGACTGGAGCAGCCCTTAAAATTCAGCTGTGAGTAAACACAGTCTCTGCATTTGGCCTAAGGGGACCAGGCACACACAGAAAGGGGTATGTTAAAAGTTACAATACCGCCATACTGCATGAACTGCCATATTGTATGGCTGTTGGAGGTCATTTTCTTCCCACCCCTTCCATTGCTCTTTGACACTGTTCCTGACGGGCCGTCCCTCAGGGTGCAGCCTGCCTTCTCTGGGCCCTTACCTTGGCTTAGGCAGACCCAGCAATCCGCGAGGTAACAGAAACCCATTCTCTCCACAGCATCCCCACCCACGCTGCGGCAATCTATGGGCTGCTCAGAAGGACTTCACTGCCAACATTGAGTGCCTGCTATGTGCCAAGACCCTTGGATGGATGTTTCGTGCCCGTCATCCTTGATACTCACCTAACACGATGAGGTTTGTACTGACATTTCATGAATGAGGAAACTGAGAATCTGTGAGTTTATAAGATTTTCCCAAGATCTCATAGTGAATAGATTGCAGAGGTGCGGAAGCCCTTAAAGACTCAAAACCAAGGCTATTTAATTCAAAGGACATCATTAGAAAAATCTAAGTCTAGAATGGCCTATGATCTAGGTAGAAATACAAACTGAACTCAAAGAATATGCATTTTCCTCTTTCTACAAATATTTGACCCAATATATATTATGATACCATATGTATTATTTTACATATCAAGATGGCATTCTCAAGAGGAGACTGAGTGGAGCCACTGACCTAAGGGGTCAGAGAGGAGGGTCAGTCATCTAGGGCAGCAGGCATCCTCATTCCACACTGTAGTGACAAGCTTGCCTTGATACGTCATTTCCTGAGAATTCGTGTGTTACACATATTCGCAGGTTAAGGGGCCCAGGGCATCTCAGAGAGCATTCTTGTGTCGTCTTTCACAGCTGTGCATTAGCTTTGAAATTTTCCCCCCAAAGTGACCTCTAGCAAAGTCATTAAATCAATGTGGATATCCTGCCTTGGGTCCTTGTCATTCCCACTCCGGGAAAGAACAGCCAAAATTTACTGTCCCAAACTCTGATGATTGGGGAAGGAAGAAGAAAATACAGCTTTCTTTTGTTATTTAGCACTCCTGGCTAATTGAAGAGGATCTGCCATTTGGGTTTGGGGGAAAATAAATCAAAGGGGAGGGGATTGTGTTTTAGGTAAACCTTGGGCTTAAAACACAACCTTCCACTCCCTGTATTTTTTCTTTCGTACAGACTGGATTTAATCTTGCCGGATATTTGAGGAGAATCAGAGCAGGTAAATCTTGTCTTGAATAAAATTTGAACAAAAGGAGAGCATAATGTGCAAATCTGCAAATAACCCAGGCACCGAGATATTCAACAGAAACACGGCTTTGCCTAGGTAAACGCATGACTACTTGTGATGAGCAGTTATTTTTTGTTTTGAAACTCACAATGGCGCTAATTCTCTATAAAGTTTTAGTCCTGCCTTGGACTTTTTTTTCATGCTTCTGTATAGAGGTCACTGAGTGTGGGATTATACCCAACACACTGGGGTGATCATCCTCAGAAATAAAACTATCATGATTTACCCATGGGCAGGGAGTGAGAAGCCCTGGGTCTGAGTTACTATGAATGATAGAAATGTGGATTTTCTGGCTGCCCTTCACAGATTCTATCTTGTCTGCCCTCAGCAAGGTGGTGGTCACATGTTCAAGTGGAGCTGGGGCTTCAAAGAGTTGGGTATTGGGGAAGGACATACCACATGGATCCAAGCCTACCCAAGCCTACCGCCAGCTCCACGTTGCTCCCAGCCTCTGGTGTCTGCGGCACACACCTCCCCTCGCGACCTCTCATCTCTTTGGACACCTCATTTTTTTGACCTGGCCTGGTTCCTGTCTACTACTTTGGCATATTTACCAAGTTTTCCATGTCTTAAAAGTCTAGTTCTGCTGCAAATAGCCTGGCTCTCTGGCTAAAGTCCCAGAAAGCCTTTCAGCCACCCACACAACTGCTCAGTGACCTGAAGGCACCCGAGTTTTAGGAGCCTGAGATGGAAGGACAAGTAATTAATTGTGAGATTGTATGAATCAGTCTCTCCAAATGCAACACAGTCAAGGAGTCAGGGGTATTTAGCCCTTTTCGTTTGTTTGTATGTAAAGTAAAGTAGTCACCACTTCCATCCATGGTAATTAATATTTCCTGAGTGCTTATCAGTAGCATGGCAGTATATCAGGTGTGCCTGGGGCTTTTCACAGCATAGAGGATGTGAAATTTCTGGTCTCAATGAACATCCAATAATAAGCAAGACAGGGCAATTAATTAGCAACTATTTACGAGTGCCTAGTTAGGCTCAGCATTTTACTAGAAGGTGTATACACAACTCAGTAATCATAGGAAAGGCCCTTGCCCAGCAGAGGGACTATCTCCTGAAGCCCTCAGTCTGGCTCTTGGAGGAGTCAGGGGAGGTGGAGAATTTGCTTCTGGACCTCGAGCTCCGGGGCTGCAGTTGTCACCCTGGCACTCGAAACTATCAATGATTTCCACCCAGGGGCAAGACGTCCCCCCAGGAATGTTTGAGAATGTGTGGGAGCAGTTCTTATTGGTTCTTGGTTATTACAAATGAACATTTGCTGTGTGGGGCCCAGGATGGGGACTCCAAGGTGCTAGACAGTGCTTCCCCACCGAGAACTTTCTTACGATGCCAGTGCACCCCAGCTGAAAGCTGACAGAGTAAAAACTGTGAAAATACTTAGAAGATTTCTCACTTTATTTCCTTCCCACGTACTTTAGGAAACTGGTGAGGAGTGGTAGCACAGAGAGAGGGCAGTAGTCAGGTTAACCCCAATTCTCCAAACCTGAGAACCTCGGGTATTTGAGATTAAGTCCCAGTGTGCAGAGAATATGGAAGTTCCAAGGCCAGGATTCTCACCTGACCCTGGTCTGCTGGCCCACTGTGCACGTGCAATGCTCACAGGCACATGTTTACACACGTGTTGACAACAGGCTATTATTGACTCTGTATAAAGAGCTCCACTCAGTGCTGCGGGGCTGGAAGGTAGCAGAGAGGCCTGGAGGCATTGACGGGATTGCAGGCAAATGGGATTCTAGCGTTTGACCTGCCACCACGGGAATAAAGCTGGTATAAAACCCTTTTACCTCCCAACATTCCATTGTCATTTTTCGGTCTCACAGAATCCAGAGTGAACTTGCCCAGGGCTGAAACCCTCAGGCGAGACACCTTGCCGTTCATTATTGTGGTTAAATTACCCTTTTGGGGGGAAGATAAGTGTGATTCTAAGTTTAGGATATTATTGGTCCCTGTTTTTAACTCAACAGCCATATCACAATTGTCTTTCAGAATAATTTTTCTTTATAACCATAACCAATTAAAAAAAAGAAAAATATAAAGGGACGGTGAAACAATGTGCAGTAAAAGGGTCATCCAACTGTCGTCACTACCGATGCTCCAGGCATACTGGAGATTACCCGAGTCCTAGCAAGCTGCCCGTAGACCTGCACCAAGAGGGCAGCAAGGGGCAACCTGAAAGCACAGAAAACAGTAGAACAAGCTGTGGCCCACTAAGGGCAGGGAACCCGAGAAAAGAAGAATACAACTGAGGCAGAATGTGGACATGCTGGCCTGAATCTGCAGGATGAGGCCAGGGTTGGGGGAAAGGTGTCAAAGTTCCAATCTATTTGGAGCAATGCTCTTTAGGACCAGAAGCGTGACGTGGAGAGTGGTGGGTGGCTCTGGGCAAGGTTGAGGGCACCTCCAGGGTGAGTAAACCATATCGTCATTCACCGGTTTCTTGTATGATTAAGGCACAGTTTCAAAAAGAACAGGTAAAAGTCCATGAAAAACATTTTAGGGACTTTTAGGTCAGTGTGTAGGCAGGAAAAGCTAGTAGTGTTGACTTGTAGGCATGCTGTGGTCTGCCAGGAGAGAGACAGAGACCAGGAAAGTCTCGTGTGCCCCTGGAGCCTCCCGGGGTGGCTGGTGATGTTGGCAGGAGGCCTTCACTTCCCAGTTCTGCCATTTCCTACTGTGTGACCCTGAACAAGTTATTTAAGCTCTCTGAGCCTCCATTTCCTCATCTTTAAATAAAGATATTAGTTGGTTATGAAGATTAGGAATAATTATGGAACACTCAATGCCCAGAACCTCAAAAGTGGTCAGTAGGCAATAGGTTATCATTCGTATTTGACCTTTTTCTAAGAAAACCCAGTAACAGCATCTTCCTACTTAAACCTCAGCTTAATTACAAAGTGATCCTCCCAGATATGTGTTTTTGACATGTATTTTTCCAAAGCAATTATTGTAAAGTATTTGATCTGATCGTCAGGAAAATTCCTGTAAGACGCTTTATCCTAACAGTATCCATTAGAGCTCATGGTTCCCTGTGCCAGCAAACCCTATTCAAACTGGCTTCAGATGAATAATGGAATTTGTTTACCCGTTTAAACGGAGAAATGCAGGGGTGGCTTTATGGCCTGATCTGTAGCTCAAGCAATATTGCCAGGGCTTGGTTTCTCTCCTTCCAACTCTTGATCTGTTATTAACTAGAAACTTCTCTCCTTTGAATCCTGAGTGTATCTGTAGAAACCTGGGGACACAAGCTGCCTGGACTGAGAGTCACGTGTTCACCCACACACCAATCACTGTGGCTAAGGGTATCCAGGGATCTGATTGGCCAGGCCTGGGCCACAGGCTGCACGTCGGTCGGGAGGATGCAACCCACCTGCAGCGCCGTGGACAGAGCCAGAAAGCGCTGTACCACAGGAGGACGTGCAGCGTGAGGGGATGTTGGCAGAAAAAGGAGAAAAATCCACTCCCGGGTTCGTCACACGGTTGCACGACCACCGCCAGGTTTCCTCAGTTTGAACACGGTGTCAGTCGGGCGGTGGATATAGGTAGTTCCCAGCCGGTGGAGCCATGGGGCTGGGCTGGGAATTCTGCAGAGTGTGGGACGTGGCCCACCACTAACTGAATCTCCCGGGATGCTTGCTAAAAGTCTGGGTTCTTGGGTCCCCCACCCAAGACCTACCCCTCCAGAAACTGGGGCTGGATTCCAAACAGCATTTTAAAATAAGCTCTCAGAAGATTCTAATGAACAGAGAAGTTTGAGAACAGCTGATGCGCTAGGCTGGGTCCTGCGGGTGATGGAGAGGAGCCCAGGAGAACCACTAGCCTTTACAGCCGCTGCAGGAAAATCAGGCCACACCCTCGGATGCCCCTCTACCAGGTACGGTATGGCCTTACTCCCTTAGGTAAAGAGCCTTACACTGATCTGCATGTTGTTTTGACGTGTCATCCCTCAGTTAGGGTACCACACAGCTGCTGCCTTACCTGGTGGGAAACGGAGGCATACTAGCTGGTAAACTCCCAGCAGAAATGACTCGCTGTCTCTAAGTTGATGCCTTGATTTGCTCAGACTCCCGTGTCCCCACCGTTTCAGCTTTGTTCTCTATAACAGTGTTGGACTACGTGAAAAGTCTCATAGACCAAAACAAACCTGAAGAAGACCCCCTGCACATTTAACACTGAGTTTATTTTCTGTTCTGGCTAAGAACCTCCATTTTGTTGACCAAACACCAGTTTTCTGAGTTCAGACATCCGCCGTGGCCCTGCCCAGTTCTTGGGAATCTAAATAGTGCCAGAAACCCAATGCAGACTCCTTCACGCACACTTGAGGACCTACCTACCTCTTCCCCGAAGGGGACAAACGGAGCAGCCAACTGTGTGACCCCTGGCTCCCTCTTTAAATCCGTACCTAGAGAAATGTGAGCCGAGTCAGATAAGACATCTTTAAATAAAATGGGATCTGTGAGCCATGTGGAACTCCCAGCTCGGGGTGCACGCCGGATCCCAGCTACTCTGCTTCCAACACCCAACACTATTTTTATATCCTTTTTATAGCATTCCTTTTGGCAAGCCTGCCGTAGGGTTTCAGAGTCAAAATTACAATTACTGCCAGACCAAGGCCGCATGAAGCAACTTTATTACCGCTTCTGTTTTCTAAGGGATCCTTCTAGACACTTAGTCCACGGGCAGCATCAGCCTTTTTCTGCAGGGCAATATTATGGGCTCATATCTATAGTGAGAAATTAGTATTCCTCCCTGGTTTTTTCCTACAGTGCTGTTTCCTAAAGAGCAGCCCTTTCTTTTGTCTATTTACTGATTGTTATTTCTCCCCAGGTGTCTTGCCTCACTTTTATCCCAGTTAAATCTCTTCTCATTTACCTCACTTCCTCGTGAAGCTTGCCAAACCAGACCACTATTTCACCTTGTTTCCCCCTCCTTTTACTTCCTCCCTTCCCGCCCTCCCTCCCTTCCTTCCTCTCTCTGTCTTTTCCAGTTCAGTGGCACCCAGTTGTTTTCTTCCTTCTCATTAGTAAATAAACTGCACAGTGAAAGTCTTCGCAGGGTTATACTTTACACCTTGCCCGATTGAGAGAGAACCACTGATACGTACTTACCATGGTTTGAGAACAGCCGAAGCGTAGGCTGTGATCGGTGTGATTGTTAAAAGCATTTTGCTTCTGTCATCTGGGAGAGCGCTGAGGGGTGCAGATTCGGCTTTACCAGAATGGGATCAGTAGCATCCCTTAGGACCTTTATCTGTTGCAGTGACTTTTCTCCCTTCCTTATTGATTCAGTTTTCCTAATGATGATATCCTGAACGATCGGCACGTTTCTATCTCCTTTTCTCTTTAACGTAGGCATTGATACGTATGCACGGCCATATTTGCACACGTCCACACTGGAGTTTTATGCAGATTCCGAGTCAGGATGCCTGCCTTCTGTGGGTGGCACAGAACACCTGGTCTCTGCCTCGGTGTCCTCCATTCGTAAACAACCAATAAGATGTGGGGAGTAGGAAAACATGCTGATTCTCCAGATAGCTGTAAGAGCTGTGAAATAAAACTTCATAAGCTAAGGTTCTAAGAAATGTCCTGACAAGGAGAGATCATGTATCGTTGGGACTGCAGGGCTTGAAGCAGAGAATACAGGATTTGGGTAGTTGGCTTTGATTTGTAGTTACTCCCGTGGTAGGGTTCTGGTAGCCATGGAGCTGGTGACTGGCTGTTGTATTGATGCGTGGGTGTTGATCGTACTGTTGCCAACGCCTTTTGGTTTTGCTTCATGCCATGGTGCACTGATGGGCACCACTTCTGAAAAGTTGCTGAGTTCTCGGGGTTAATCCCAGAATCAAGCATATGTTTGGGCCACACCAAGCATTCAAGTTGGTTTTTTTTTTTCCAATCATTCATTTCAGAGAAACTAAGAACACTCTCATTTTCAAAATATGAAGTGACTTCCCCAGCACCATGCAGTCAAATCACTTCTAGATCCAGACACAAGGCAGGGGGCTATTCTGTGTGATTAAGAGCATGATCCTTGGCCTCTAACGGCTTAAACTTTAGAACCATCAGAAAACAAGCAACACATTGGTCATTTTTTGCAGTCTTCTTGGGAAACCCAAGAAAACTGATCAAAAAGAGCGAGCACTTACTAGTCATGTTTCCAGATGAATACTATAAAATGTCATTTGTCCCTAAGTTAATTTTTTGATAGAGTTCTGTGGTCAGAACACATAATATCAATCAATCCAAGTTTAAAAAGGAATAATAAGGGCGGACATGTGTTAAAACAATTGAAATACATATTTGCATATTGAACATACACGTGCATATAAATGATCGTTTAAGGGTGTGCTATTTGCACAGGAGTTGACAGAGTCAGTGGAACGAAGGGGAAATTACTCAGTACATAGTGTTAAAAAACAATGAAGACCCATTTGGGAACAAATTATTTATGGCCACTGTTTCCACCAATAGGAGAAGACAAATTCTAGGTGAATTAAAGCCTTAAGTGTTAAAAAAAAAGTCTCAATAAGAAACCTAGAAAAAAAGTAGCTAAAAATTTATATGATGCCTGGCTGCAAAAGAACTTCAGAAACATTTTTTTAAATAGAAAAACTATGAAGAAAAAGATTGATTCATTTAACTACAGAAAAATATGTAACCTAGGCACATAAAAATTAATTTGAGACACACTACAGCAAACTAGGAAATGACCAACCAGGAGCTAATGATCCATTCACTCAGCAAATATTTACTGAGCACTTACTATGTGCTAGGTACTTTCTGTGTGCTGGGCTTATAGCATTAGACATTACAGACAAAAATGCCTGCCCTGGTGGCAGAGGGAATGGACACTAGATAGACTAAGACAAGCAATAAACCCCCACACAGAAAAATGGACAAAGGATACAAGCAGACAATTCACCTAAGAGAAAAAGTGAACACCTAACACAGCTGTGTTTGTGTTGTTCCCTCCCAAGTCTGTCCTAAGTTCTGCAGGCAGGACGTGTGGCAGCCACCCGGTCCCACTCCGGGGCCAGCCTGGCTCCTACAGCTGCAGGGAGACCTTGCCCAGCTGGCTGGGCTGCCGGTGGGCCTGTGGGCTTGCCTTGCCATTCCTGCCGCCCATTCAGGGCTCTGGGCTCCGGAGCCAGTGTCTGGTTTGGGGTTCTGGCTCCTCCACTCAGGATGACCTTGAGCAGGTCATTAGCCGCTGTGTGCCTCAGTTTCCCTCATCTCTAGAGAGCACAGTAGCAGCTACCTCACAGCATTAGAGTGAGGCTCAGCATGCTAATGCTTGTGAAGTGCTGACAACAGTGCCCGCTGCAGGGAAAGGTTTTAGCACATAGCAGTTACCACGGACCTCCTTCTGAGGCCACCCAGAGGAGGCCTTCAGTGACCGGCAGTGGTGCTGAGACAGGAGGAAAAAGCCACTTCCCACAGGCCAGGAGGAGCAGTCTGTTCAGGACCTCCTGGAATCCAGGTTTTAGGGTAATGTCCCTCACCCCAAAGACAGGGCTCCTGCAGGGAGACAGCTCCACACACCTACTGGAGCACCCAGAACCAGCAGACGCTTTCCCACATTCTCATTGACAAATCGGGTCTAATTTTTTTACGTCCAAATGTATTGCACTGCCTACCTTCCTGCTGACTTTTCATGAGGTAATTCTTGATGGGTCACCGAGTTCTAATAAACCCCAATTTTGCCATGAAAAAGATTTGACAAAAGGCCTCCTCAGTAATGAATGAGAAACGGAGCTCTTGGTGGTGTTCTTCCCACTGTCTCGTGGAAAACAACCCCTGACACACATGCGTTTGTCTTTCTGCCTTGACCTCTTCACGCATCTCCCCTGGTAAACACCACGACCTCCAGGTAGTATTTCAATACAGCTCAGTCATGTCTTGGCAGTGGCACTAGCTAGCAAAATTGTTCCCAAGGAAAGAGAGAGATTTAAGGTTCATATTGAAATGGCTGATGTGAAATTTGAGGGTCTCTGAGATCCTTGGCTTGGGAGCAAGGCCATGAATAACTAAGACTTTTGAAATGGCTTTATTATATCTACACCTGTATAAAGCACTTTAGGAAGGGGAAAATACTACATGGACGATTTTGACTGTGGTATAACTCTAGGGCTATCCCGGTTCACCAAACCAAGATACATTTCCATGTGTCACTAAAAACATAGCTCTTGGCCATACATACAGATTTTTCAAAAGCAGGCTACACCCCAAGTTTTATTTTTCAATTTGGAAATTTCTTCTCCTAACTCCAATCCCCCTCCAGATTTGCAAGCGGGTATATTATAATTCAATAATAATTCATTTTCAGGTGTATTAATGCAGTTATAAAACATAGGAGAGAGAACATGTAGAGAGCATGAATATATAAAATTCTGAAAAGGACTTCCTGTTAGAGATTTTAATTGTAGGAGAGCCTGGTTTCATTTTTATTTTTTCTTAACCCAGGTTCTCTTTTATAGTAAATGAAGCATTTACATAAAGACATTTTTGTCTAGGGAAAAATAGCTATAGAACTACTGGCTAAATAAAACCTTCCTGCGATAACCTACATGCCAGTTACATAAATGAATGAACAAACTGTATTGGACAGTAGGACCAGTGGAGCCCGTAAACTGGGGATAAGCCGCCCTATGTAAAGGAGGCGGCAACTGCCAGTTGTTGCCATTCAGGATGAGGGGTCCAGTGACCCAAGATCTTCCAGATATTCAACACCAGTGAGAAATCTCCAAATTTAAAAATTTTGAAAACTACAGAAAAATCAAAGCAATACATTATGAAAGCAAACAAACAAAACATCTGTAGTCTGGAAATGTTTTCTAGGTTACTGGTGAGCAACCTCTTCAGTTAGGCAAGTTTTTAATTTCTATTCTGTCTTGTTTTTAGTTATTTTAAATGGCATTTCATAGCAAATGGAGGGTCCTCATAAAGCCCTAAATTTGAAGATACAGATGTATTCAAGTCAACAGTACCAATATCTCAAAGCAGATTTTATCCAGATGAGAACCATTATTAGAAACTATGATAGCATACAGAGAGAGCTGTATAATATCCTGGCATTTTATGAATCAGGCTGGTGCATGGGGCATATACTTATTTATTTATTTATTTATTTATTTATTTATTTTTTGGTACCATTAATCTACAATTACATGAGCAACAGTATGGTTACTAGACTCCCCCCATCAAGTCCCCACCACATACCCCATTACAGTCACTGTCCATCAGCGTAGTAGATGCTATAGAATCACTACTTGTCTTCTCTGTGTTATACAGCCCTCCCTGTGCTCCCCCCCCATTATGTCTGGTAATTGTAATGCCCCCTTTTCCCCCTTCTCCCTCCCTTCCCACCCATCCTCCCCAGTCCCTTTCCCTTTGGTAACTGCTAGTCCCTTCTTGGAGTCTGTGAGTCTGCTGCTGTTTTGTTCCTTCAGTTTTGCTTTGCTGTTATACTCCACAAATGAGGGAAATCATTTGGCACTTGTCTTTTTCCACCTGGCTTATTTCACTGAGCATAATACCCTCTAGCTCCATCCATGTTGTTGCAAATGGTAGGGTTTGTTTTTTTCTTATGGCTGAATAATATTCCACTGTGTATATGTACCACATCTTATTTATCCATTCATCAGCATATACTTCTTGAATGAGAGTTTTCCACGATGCTGTATCATAGACCCAAGAAAGAGGAGTCTCAAAGGACATGTGACAGGCAGTCTGTAAAGAAATATTTATGTCCATTTTAGCACCCAGAATTACCTAATGCACAGGATAGATTTGACCTGGGTAAATGGCATCGAGTTAAAGAAGCTGATACTTCCTATTTCCTTCCTGTTTTCTGTTTCCACCTTCTGTGTCCTAGCTTCCTTCTTCCAGATCTGACTGCTCTCTCCTCTTTCTCCACATTCATCATATCTGTGATACAGGCCATTCTTCTTAACTACCTAAGCCCTAGTTTATATTTGGCTCTGAAATGCATTATTCCATTCTTAGTGTATTTACAGTATTATCCTTCAGCAAACATAAAAATTAGTCTTCAGGACACAATGTCATCCACCCTCATCCTGTGTAGTGCTTCCCTTTTGTCACAGAAACTCCCTGCATCTTTCCTTGTCTGTCTGAAGACAAAGAGCCATCACCTCCAAGGGCCAGGGGACATTTGGGGACCGATCACAGACACTACACCTCTTCTGGTGGCCATTCGTGGAATGAATGGGCTTCCGGCCTTCAGGCCCATCTACTCTTCCTGTATTTGTTCCTCTTGACATGTTCAAGAGTTAGACACGGTCCTTTTATAAATAAGGAGTTCATGCCCCTGAAACAAACAGACAAGGTAGCTGGAGAATTTGGGGCCAGCACTTCCAATATGCATCCTTAAGAAATTTGGCTTTCTCCTGAATAGATATTTAGGAATAGGATGAGTGAGGGAAGGGAGGTATAAGATATAAGAAATGAAAGGCATGTTCTGGAGGTAAAGAAATGTGGTAGGGGGTAGTGATTAATTAGACTCATTAGAAAAAAAGGGACCCCAAGGTCAGGTTCTGTGTCTGGTCCCGCAAATACAAACATATGTAAGCTATTACTAAGATTTTTTATTAAATTTAAAATAAGTAAGATGTGGGCTCTGCCTTCAAGGGCCTGAGTCTAGAAAACAGAGCAGACAAGTAACTCAGTAACCACCAGTTTCCTGGGGTGATACAACAGTCACTGTATGCACAGGCCCCAGAGAAAGGGCAAAGAAGCTCGAGTGAAGCTCTGTGGGTCAAAGGGCAGGGTAAGTTTAGCCACTGGAACGAGTTTTTAAAAGAAGAGTCGAGCAGAAAGGCTAACTGGGGAAGGGGCTTCTCACGTCCTGGAGCCTGGATTGCACAGCCTCCTGGCCTCGGACCGTTTCCAGCTCAGCTCTGCAGGCAGTCTGCCCAGGGGCCCTGGGACTAGAGGAAGCCTGGCGCCAGGACTAGTGCAGATGGAGAGGGTGGTTAGGGAGGGAAGCGGGCCGGCGCAGAGGAGAGCGGGCGCAGGCAGTGGGAAGGCTCCGGGCTTGCAGAACCTGGGCTCTGCGAGGGGCTGAGGTCGCTCCGCCTTGGGCGGCAACGGGAGCCAGAGAGGGATGAGGAATGGGGGTGTTCAGGGCACCCCCAACCCCGGGGCAGCCTTCCAGCTGGGTGGCCTCCGGGAGGTGTGCTGGAGCCTGCAGACCAGGTGGGTAAGAGGGCAGGGAGCCGAGGTGGCCTGCGGCGTAGAGGAGGCACAGCAGAAGGCACGGGGCAGAACTGCGGGAGCGGGCAGAGCTGGGCAGGCGCCGGCGTCAGCAGACGCAGAGGCCGAGGACCAGCGGCCTACAAGCCCCGCAGGGAGATTCTGCCCTTGCCGCCCACCCCGGGCCCGTGGCCTGGAAGGGGCTGCCTGGCTCCGTCTGGGACCGCTCACCCAGGGCTCCTGGGCACAGGCGGGGCCACAGCACCCCGACGAGGGTGAGGACCTCGGCCCCGGTTGAGGGCGGGCAGAGATGCCTCTCGGGGACCCCCGGGGACCCCTCATCAGCCTGCCCTTTGTTAAGTGGCTTCACCCCAGCCAGGCCAGGGAGGTCTCTCTCCTGGATCGTCCGTTTGTTAATTAAACACTGTGTGTGTGTCTAAGAGAGTGTGTTTAATTTCCTTTATTAAAGAAGCACACCGGGCCTACCCGACGGCCATGTCGACGGGAGGTCCCCCTGCGAGGCGGCCGGCGGGCGGGGGGAGCCAGTGGGGCGCCGCGCCTCAGGCCGGCCGCCCACCTCCCCCTGTCCAAGCGCTGCACGGTGGTGCCCCGATCCACACCTGTCATCAGAGGCAAGCATGTGCTGGGTAACATGACGTTTAAGGGTTACTGCATATATGCTCTGTGCCAGGTACAGCCGTAAACGCTGTGAATCGCCCCAGTTCGGTTTCTCCCTACCTCGCACCTCTGATGTGGGTTCCATCGTTACCCCCGTTTTACAGATGAGGAAATGGAGACACAGAGAAGTGAAGAAACGCGTCCGGGGTCACACAGCAATCGTGTGACTCCGAGACCCCACCCTGACCACGCCCATCCCGTCCGCCCAGGCCCCGCCCCCACGGGCGGAAGGGGAGCGGCTGCACCCCTCCCACCTCCCCACCTCTCTTCGCCTTTTCCCCCCTTCCCCACCTTCCCGTCTTCCCCACCTTCCCATCTCCCCACCTTCCACCCTCATACCCAGAGGCATCAGACTTTAAACCACAACATGGAGACAGAAACGTGCACGACAAAAACACGGGTGCATCGTTTTAGAGGAATCGGGAAGAGAACCCTGTTCAAAGCATGATTCAAAACCCAAAACATTTAACATAGAAGGGAAACAATTGACAGGCCTGAACACATAAAAACTTCCTTTACCTGTTTGGCTATAAAATAACATAAAACTGAAAAACTGGGAAAATATTCATGAGTGGCTACATTTACTGATATTCTAGAAACTCAAGGGCAAAAGATACAAGCAGGCATTTCCCAGAGAAAGAACTAAAAGTGGATGATAAGCAAATGAAAAAGATATTCAGCCTCATTTATCTTTTTTTTAAAGGTAAACTCAGACTACAAAAGGAAGGTATTTTTCACTGTGAAGTTTGCAACTATTGGTGTACACCAGCATCTCCACTCTCAGTTCTACACCTCAGGCTTCAGTCCGGTTTTCTGGATTTCCCTAGTTAGAGCTACTGTCTCCAGCAGTGAGGAAACTGGCTCCTTCACACTCATGATTCTTACTTAACCAATCCCTCTCTCTGCATCCAATCTCCATTGCCCACCATCCCCACTCCACTACAGCTTGGAGTCTGATACCCTGGGCAGGCCACTGCCCCCACCGCCCCTGCAGATGACCCTTCACCCCACACAGAGCTAACCCTACTCTGTCTTTACACACACACACCCCTACATCATCATGCTTGGGCTCTACATTCCCCAACTTATTATTGTATAGATGCCAACCCTTCTGGGCCCCCTGTTTAATTCACACATTCTTTAAAAATATATCTACTCATGTGAAATAATTAGCTCAAAGGCCATAGATCTTTGAATACAAATTGCTTTCCTAACAGTTTGTGTCAGTTTATAATACCATAAGAATGAAACATATTTGAGTGACTGTTTCACCACACCTTTGCTGGCATTGGGTATTATCCATTTTTTACAGTTTCTTTCTCTTTTGCTTCCTCAGATAATGGGTATGCCAAGGAAAAAAGAGAGAATCCCAGAGCTGTTTATGGAGCCTTCACTTTAACCACCTGACTCAGCTAAGTCTATACCTAAACACTTGAGGACAGCAGGTTTTGATCTGATTAGTTGACCTGTCTGGCAGAATTAAGCCATCAGTATAGTTACCATGCCTCTTTAGTGATCTCATCCTCCTGCCATTCAAAAAGTAGGAACTGAGCACCCAGATCCTGTGGTAGGGTTTGCAAAGATGTAGAAGTCGTGGTCTCTGCCCTCAAAGATCCTGTATTTTGGACAAAGCCAGATATTCAGATGGTATTACGAACACAGTGTTCATTTGATCAGTTACTTCAGTTCTCTGGGGTTCAGGTTACTCATCTGGGAACTGGGACATCCCATCTTCTAGCACCAATATTCTGCGTGCTTCCACAATCCCACCCCTCTGCCTCACACTGTCCCTCTCCTCCCCAAAACAAACCCCGTCCTCCAAATGCACACTTACATAGTCACTATGATCGATAGATTTTATCCTGATGCCCACTTCTCAAGCACTGCCATTTGTACACTAGCTCACTTATTTCTTACAACGCTATTGAGATTGTTATTTTAATCCCCACTTTCTAGATAGTGACATGGAGACTCAAGGAGGGTTTTGCCAAAGGTCCTAAAAAATGGGATCAAGGCTGAGCCCAGGTCAGTGGGGCCCTCAAGTGTGTGCCCTTCCATTGATTGCCACAGCCAGCCTCAGCTTCCTTTCCTGTCCCCTGCCTGTCTTCTGCAGGGACTCCCCTATCCTTCCCCTTGCATTTTCTAAATCTTGTCCATCTATCAAGGGCCAGCTGGAAACCCTCTGACATCTGCCAGTGCTCCCAGGATGCGATGTCTCTGAGGACCTGAACCACCGCCTTTTATGGACTGCGCACAAGCACACCTGGTAAGTGTTTGATGCAGAGGGAAGGGGTTCCCAAAGAAAGAATTCCTGAATCCTGAGCTGACTCCTAGCGACATCCCTGGGCTCTCTTGTCCCCCTGGGTGGAAACTCTTTGGAGATAAATATGTACCTTATTCGCTGCACTTCATAAATTCTTCCCGGATGAAGGTCATTCTGAGCTCCTGGTCTGATGGACGCAGAGAGAGTGTGAGTGTGTATGTGTGTGTGTGTGTGTGTGTGTGTGTGTGTGTGTGTGTGTGTGTGTGTGTATGAGGGTCATTCTGAGCTCCTGGTCTGATGGACGCAGAGAGAGTGTGAGTGTGTGTGTGTGTGTGTGTGTGTGTGTGTGTGTGTGTGTGTAAAAGGGAACTTAGCACAATGGCTGCAAAAGGAAGCAGTCTGTGTCAGGAAAATATGCCTAGTGATGCAAAAAAGGCCATTGCAGCCCCTCTCACCCTGCGGCTTCAGTACTTAGGATATTTATGTCCTTCGCCTCTCCGCTGGCTTGCTCTCATTCTCCCCTTTAGCTGTGACAGCCACATGCCACTCAAGCTTATGGGCTCAACATTGGCCTGGGTCTGGAGTGACACGGCCATGACTCCCTCGGTGGCTGGGCAGCATTTGAGAGGTGAACGAGCGGCTTGAGCCAGAGCCCTCCTCAGGTGCCCACCTTACTTGGCACAACCTCTCATTTTCTTGTCACCAACTCTAGAGAAAAATGCCTGGACTGGCTGGGCCTTGTGACATTAATTTCTATCTCTTTTGAAGCACAATGAAAAACATGAAAAAGCTTTACCTCATACCAGTCCGAATAACCCCCCCATAACAGTAACAGTAGTAGCAGGAATTCTGCTGGGGCCCCATGCAGCAGTCGGGCAGAGGCCACTCAGGGACACTGACCCTGCCGCTCCGGCTGTTCTGATGGTCACTCAGGGAATTCCTCCTCCCTCCAGGCGGAAACGTGTGGCTGCCTGAAATTCCAGTTGGGTCTGCCTGCCCTCCTGGGAGGCGCATTGATCAAATGACCCACAGCCTTCCTTCCATCCCTGAAGGGAGGTCATCCTGAAGCTGGGATGGAGAAAGGGGGAGCCACCACCCTAACCTTCTGGGCTCAACTCAGTGACTGTCCCCAGCTAGCCCCATCCAAAGGCCAAGGCAGAGTCACAGGAGGAGAGAGGAAGGGTCAAGGTGGTGTTCCAGGTGTGGTCCTTGGAAAACCTGTCCCCAGGTTCTCTGATACTCCTCACGTCAAGAAGTGAGGTCTCTGTTCTCTCCTCTTGAACTTGAGCCCTGCAGTGATTTAACCAACTGAATATGGTGGATGCAAAAAACCTGCTGTGCCCGTTTCCCAGCCCAGGCCCTAAGAAACTGGCAATGTCTACTTCCTGGCTCCTGGGAACCCAGACTCCAGGCTCCGAGACAGCCCAGCAGACCTGGGAGAGGCCCTCTGCACAGCTGAGCTCTCAGCGGGGCCAGCACCCACTCCACCCCCTCCAGCCCCTGACCTGCCATGGCTGGGGCCTTGGGGAGCAAGGATGAGCCTTCTTCCCCACCTTGGGCTCTGGGCCCTGCAGACCTGCTCTGGCTCATCATCCCCTAAGCAGGGGACTGGCTTCTGATGCAGCGGCATCCTTGGGAGCCCAGAGATGTGGGCCTCCCTAGCCCAACTCTAGAGGGCACCCCTGGCATTTCACACCAGGATGGTGTGGGTTCCATGATGTGGGGTCCCAATGCAAGCCCCACTACCCCCTACACCTAGTTCCCTTTGATTTTGGGAGCCTACCCTACACTCAGAATATCGGCCAGGGTCTCTTAAAAAGGAATGGAGCCCTCTGCAGCACAGAGATGCTGGGGACGGGAGGCAGGTCGCAGAAGGAGGGAGACAGGATTCCACCCCTAGCCCTTTCTGTTCTGGGGTACTGAGGGCAGCTTGCTGGAGATGGTGTAGCCAGGCGACTTGCCTCAAAGCTGCATGCATGTGCACACTGCTAGGTAGGTGGTTTTTTGAAGATCAATAAAAACAGCGTTTTCCAAACACATAAGAGGGAGTAAATAGTGACTGTCCACAATAAGAGTGGCTTTGGAGGGGGTGACCCACTCTCCCTGCCGCGGAGTCCCCTAGGCGCGTGGCCTCTGTGATTGACGTGCCTGAGTCCCACCGACACAGGGGGGCAGCAAGAGCCTCGCCGCCGTCTCAGCTCCTTAGCGCCACCCAGTGGAACAAGGGCGGAACACCACACCCGCTTAGAGCCGCGCTGGCGCAAAGCCACCCTTTGTCTTCAGAACGGGCTTTTCCTGCCAAAGCAAACCGCCGCGTTACAACTACTGGAAGAGCAGTCCCGAGAAACAAAGCCCTGATTTTTTTATAGCAACAGTGGAAACCGGACCCCACTTCCTTCCTCCAGGATTAGGTCTTTATTGATGCTGGTGGAGTCGGTCATCTTGTTGCAGGGTTGACCTGCAGCCATCCATACTCGGAGAGTGAGAGAGGAGAAATATTTAAGCTCTCCCAGAGATTCTATCAAAGGTTTTTCTGTTCGGGTTACCTGACTGTTACAAAGGACTCTCTGATGGCATTTCTTTCTTTTTTTTTCTTTTTTTTTTTTTTTTAGTTTTTTAATAACATTGAGCCTGAATTTCCATCCTCTGCTTATTGAGAGCCAGTGAGCCTGTGGGTGCGTAAGGAGTGACGCCATGGGTGTTTTCACATGCCCTCCCGGAGGGGAGCCAGCCCCCTGTTCTCCAGCGAGGAACCTTGCCCTCTCCCTGCAGCAACCCAAGGGATCGCTACAGGCATGCTCTGTGGTTAACTCAATTCTTCAGAAAGGAATCCAGGAGAAACCACTTCAAAATGAAGGTTTAGCCAAATGCAAAGCTGAAACTGGGGTACAGAATTATTATGTCAAATAGGACGGGAGAGGAGGCCATCCCTTCCCGGCTGGCGGCTTCCAAGTACCACCTTCACAGCCCTGAGTAATTGAGTTACCTACCGCCCCGTTAAGGCCCCAGTCCTCTGCAAAATAGGGAAGACAATATTCCTACTTCATAAGATTACTGTGAGTTTTTAATGAGATAATATGTATTCAATAGTTAAGAGTTTTATTCTAAAACTTGGAGTATGAAAAATGACCCATTCTAACTTTTTCTAAAGCATATTAATTCAACTTGCCTGTGTGATGAAGAAGTCAATCTCAGTCATGTTTGGAGTCTCCTTCCCATCTCTGCGACCACACAAGAATCACTGATAATCTGTGGTGTCCAAAAAATTCAGGGTTGGGCTTCTAGCCCTAGTCCATTATGCCAAGATTCACCCACTACTGAGCCCACCTGGTCAAAGACTGTCGGCCCCCTGAGTGTAGAGTCTGACCTCCTTAGAGGAATCCCATGAAGTGTTCAGAATATGCCACCCCAAAATATGCCACTTTAGCATAAGACTTATTTTGAGCTGAAGGCATTTGAGAATCAGCGAACTGGGGAAGAGTTCTTTCCCCTCCCCTTAACTACCTTAAAGCAGGCCATAAATTTCCCTTTGTGAGGGTGCAATAAATATCCCCCCTTCTCCTGTGCCACAATAAGGAGAGCAACACTTATCACAGGAGGAAAAAGGCCAGCTCCAAAATGAGTCTGTATAAGCAAATCCTTGTCACCCCTCAGAGCCCAAATCCCTTTCTTTTGTCTAATCACGCTGCACAATTTATCTCCCTTTGTTAAAATTGTCTATAAGCCCCCCCAAGTCTAACCACTTCTTGGAGGTTTTTACTTCTTTTCTGTGAAGCCCTGTGCACATAAAATACTTTGCCTTTTCTCTGTTAACCTGTCTTTCGTCAGTTTAATTCACAGGCCTCACTCACTAAATCTATGAGGATAGAAGAAAAAATGTTTACGCTGCACCTCACAGCCAAATCCTTTGAGTTCCTTCCTCTTCCCTCAAGGCTTGGGGTCGGGGGTGCAGCAGTGCTTGTCTTTATTATTTGCAGAAGCCACTCTCTATTCCATTGCCAATCTGGAGGGAACTTCTCCAAGCCTCTTACCATTCTGGCACCTTGGACTTCTACCCCTCCAAACACCTCAAACACTGTCCTATGCCTCTACAGAAATATCTTCTGTAGGCCTGACAGTCTTTGACCAGGTGGGTTCAGTAGTGGGTGGATCTTGGAATGATGGCCTAGCGCTAGACAAGAAAGCAAAAACTTGAGATGGCAAAGGGTGATGGTGGTGGGGCGGGGGGTGGGGGGAACAACAACAGAAAGAACAGCAACACAAAAAACAGAAATTAATATTTCAACAGGTCACCCTTAAAACCAGTAGCACATGTACAAGGTAAACCTTCCATGAGCGGTGATGGCCGTCACTGATGTTAGAGGCTGCAGTTGGGACTACATAATTATTGTCGCTAGGGCTGTATTACTGCTTTGGTGTGGCCCATTTGTGCATTCCTTTTGTTCTGTGCCCCGACTCTGCCCCTGCTGGGCTGGATGTGGTTTCAGGGGAGCAGAGGGCTCTTGCTTAGAGCTCATGCAGGGGACCATGCTTAGGTCTGCGCTACATTTGAGTTTCTGTTTTTTCAGGACTTGAAGAGCTAAGTCAGTTTAAACAGACAGGGCCATTAAGTGACCTGCTGCTGGTGAACCCTCACTGCAGACTTGATCTTCAGCCTCAAGCGAGCTACAGTCTAGTGGAAGAGAAGTGTGTGGGGTCGGAAGCCACAGGCTGCTCCTCCGGCTCAGCGAGGTTCCCCGCTCTGTTTCTGCACTGGGGCATTTGAGTTAATATCCTCAGGTTTCTCACCTGTGACTGGGGCGAGTGGGGACAAAAGAGGTCACAGATACTCAGCAAGCACAAGAACATGCCAGTTCTCAGAAGCACCTCTGCCACAAAATAGCTTCATACCAGCCTGACACACAGGCGGTGGCAGAAACTCACAGACCCTGCAGCTTTCTGCCCTCAAGTTCGCATAGGTGCGTCCCCACATCCCTGTGGGCCTGCCTCCGCCTGCCATTCCCCACCTCCCAGCTGGGGTTCCTTGTCCCTGGAGTGTCAAGGTCATGGAGCACAGCAAAGAGGAGAGAGCTGGCACTTGATGAAGGTGTAGCATGTCCTGTCCTATCTCATCAGTCTGTGTACAACACCACAAGGTGGGCACTTTCATTTTTACAGACAAAGAAACTGAGGCTAGGTGATGTGTCAGCTTAGTGCCCACATGCACTCAGCTAAGACAGGGAAGTGGGCCCTGCTCTCAGTCAGGGGAGCCTGCTCTGCGCAGTGCCAGGCGACTTCGAACCATAGGCCAGGAAGTTTCCACCCCATCCTGAGGCATCTCCCGAAGGCGCTGCCCCCCAGCCTGGCAGCGGGGCGTGGACAGAACAGAACTAGGGAGTAGGACACTTGGCTGAGAAGACAAGCTGTGTGCAGAGGCCTGCAAGAGACAGCAGCCTTAGGAATGGGCTAAGAAGCATAAGGGCTGGTTGGCTGGAGGAGGAAAATTTTGAGCCAGTAAGTGCACTTCTTGGCAGAAGGGGCCAGCCCAGGAGAGGAAAGGGGGCTTCCTCCAAGGTCGCCAGTCTGATTGGGCTCAACCACAGAAATGCAAAAGCAGCGCCAAGATTTTTCCTGACTCTTTTTAAAGGTTCTGCCGATTTCCGTTTCTCAGGAGATAATCCTTTATGAGAATCACTGTGAGTCTCTAAAAAAAGAGGAATGTACTAAATATTTTCGGTCACTACTGAGAGACCTAGTCAGGAGAAGAGCCAGTGTTGACAAAACATACCTTGGAATTTTGCACTGCGTCTCAGCCTCTGTAAATCTTGCAAATATTAATTTAACTGGCTGGGTAAATTGGTAATAAAATTCTCTTTGTATTAAGGAAATGGTAAAGTTAATAGGCTGTAAGCCAGAATAATTCTTGGGTGGTTTTACTACAGGGCATGCTTGCATCTCTAATTGCACTGCAAAGGGCTGAGTTACTTTGCCAACTCTCATGCCTGGAATAGCATTATTGCTGACTCGCGTTGCATGCCCAGCGTTGAGACGCAACAAGGCCCAAAGTAGTTGTTCAGTAAATGTCATTGTTAATATGCCTAAAACTCAGTCTACACCACACAAAATGAAAATTGAGATGCTACAGCTGATCTAATTGAAATTATCCAGACTTTGATGAATATTTTCTTAATGCCCGTGGTTCAGGAATAAGTCTAGAAATTTCTTTCTTGGTGTCCTGAAGCAGAAGTCCTAGGGAGCTTCCAAAGATGGTTTATTTACTTTGGGAGATTTCCTGATGCCTTGGACGGTCCAGCTGATAGTTGACTCTGGTGCCCAGAATCATAACAAATTCTGAATTTTATCCACTCACTGTGAAATAACAAATTTTACTCCTGAGCTCAAAAAAAATAACAAACTCAGTCCAAGGCCTAGAGGCACTGGGATATTTTTAAGAAATGCCTGCTACCCAGTCCCTGAACTTCTGGAATCCAAGGGACCCGCTCACTCAGTGCTTCCAGTTTGAGGATAATGTCTCCCTTGGTCTCTCCAGAGCAGCAGAAGCTTCGGGCGTCATACCTCTGAGGAGCTGGCCCCCCTCACCCTCTCATCGCCTCTCCACGAGGATGGCAGAGGCCAAACAGAGACCCACCCCTTTCCTGTTAGATCTCTGGGAAGAGCCCGGTTTGGTTACCACCTTCTGGGGAAACCCTGATGCCTTCTCTGTTGATCCCAGTCGCTCTTGTGTTGTTTTTTTTTTTATTTCATTCAGGACCATCTGAGCACGTCTTGCCCCCAAGAAGGACACTTGGCTGAGGAGTAAAGTAGTGAGAGTTGTGCCTCCCTCACTGCCCTCAGGTGGGCTCTGGTGGTGGGGCTTCGTGTGCACACACAGCGATGGGGAACAGGATCCTGAGGAGATGGGGTGGGGAAGGGTCGTCCTGCGAGCCTGGGGCTGGTGGGAGGTTCTGGAACGCGGGCAGTGAAACTTGATGACCTGGGACCCCCCCAACCATTGTGTGGTTCAGCCCCTTTCTCCAAATCTGCTTCTCCTCCCGCCTTCTGCCCCGCATGTCACTCTCTGTGCCATAACCTCTGCCTATTCAGAGTTTACCTCAGCCCTGCCCGTCACAGCCCCCCTCAGCACCCCTCCTCATGTGGCCTTTCAGCTTCCAGTTCTACTGACTGCATGGAGTCCAGGCTGGGAGGGTTGGAGGCTGCTTTCTGCAACAACTGACGCTGATTCCCATTTATGGTACTGACTAGAAGTTGCTTTTCTAGTAAAAACATGAGTTGACTCACAGAGAAATGGGAATAACAGCACAGATGGAAAGGAGAGGCAGAAAGGAATTAAAAGTGAAGCTCAGGGAGGTAACCTGTAAGCCCGGGCAGCGCTTCCTCAGACCCCCTGCCCAGCCGGTGGCGCGCAGGGAGAGCTGTGCTTCAGGAGGGGACAGCAAGCAGGGGCTGGCGGCTGTGACAGACAAGCCTAGGACGGCAGCCTCCCGTTGGGTGCTAGGTGATCTGCCCCTTTCCCTGCATTTTCGCATTTTTTTATTCGTATCATACATTCATCTGCTCTACGCAGAAGCACCAATGACGTCCATGCTATTAAATGCAACGGTCAGTTCTCCTTGACTGTCCATCAGCACTAGACCCAGTGACTTCTCTCTCCCTTGAAAAACGCTCTTCCCTCAGTGTGCAGAGGACCACATGCGCCTGCTTTTTGCTCCCAGCCTCCAGTCCTTTCTCGGTTTTCTTTGCTGTTTTCCTCTCTAAACATCAGAAAAGGTGGAATATCAGAGAAGCAGGTCATTCTTCACTAAGGTCATGGGAAGTTGCCTATAGGCGGCTTGCTGACGTTGAATTTGTAGGTCTAATCATGAAACTGTGAACCTCCCGTCGAAAAGCAATTACTTCTATGTCAGTATTATTCCAGCCACGTTGTAAGCTGATTTTAAATCTTCATCTGGTCATTTAAAACCATGTCAGAAAGGCACTTAATTCATAAACCCTGAAGGTGAAATGTAGAAGGAAAAATCTTTTTGTAATTTAGTTTAAAATGTCCATAGATGGAAGTGAACAGTGTGTATGAAATGAGATGACACTTTCTCTCCTTCTCATATATATTTTTCATATCATATGAAACGTTTTTACATTTTGTACATAAATATATAATCCACCTATACATAGTTTACATATATGTACATAAAACCAGGTTCTAGCTGAGAAGCGACTGACTGACAAGGGGCTACAACAAGTCCTTTGGGGTCTTCATCCCTGTCACCCCCACGGCACATGGTACCTGGTCCATCCGGCAGCAGGTGGAACTCTAACATGGGAAGAGGTTTTTATTACTTTCCAGTGCTATTCACAGCAGATTTTGTCACAGAGCTAGGCCCATCAGCCTGCTGGTGGTAAGATCTCCGCAAAACCGCCTCTTCTACCAAGATAAAGAAAAAACAGGCTCACAGTCTAATCTCCTTGCATCTTTCTTCCTTTCCTCTTCTTCCTCCTTTTTAAAAGACCTGCTGTGAACATTATTTTTAAAGCCAACAGTGAAGCCCTGCCCTGCCACCGGACCACCTTGCCCTTCGTACACGCAGATGCCGCTGCTCCGGGCCAGCCTGCCTCCCTCCCCGCAGGCTTGGCGAAGGAAGCCACTGGGAGGACTGCGAGCCTGGTCTCCGTGGACCCTCCATGCGCCGCCACGTTCCAGAGCGCAGTGCTGAAAGGGACGCAAACGGAGGATTCTGCAAAATTCTGCCCAGCAAGCTGTGAAGCCAGCAGAGTTTACTCTCTCAGCCAGCTAGGAAGGTAAAGACCCAATTTGTTCCAGTCGACAAACATCTGGAAGCAGAATGAGCCATCTGCCAGGCCAAAGGCCACCCCCAAGCCGTATTTCTAATGGTTCCTTGTCTGTGCTGTTTTTGCACACGCTCTCTGAAGCCAGGCCAGGTGGTGATTACTGACACTCCGTGCTTTATAATTCTGTTAGCTCACAGGGAAAAAAAGGAGAGCTTCCCAGTTCATTTCTTGGAGTCAGTGTAACCCTGGTACCAACTCCTGCAAATACCTTGTCTCCCTTGGTCTGTCCACACACACAAGACCATCATTTATACTAGTGCACAAATTCTAAATAAAATACTAGCAAAAGGATATGGAGCAACAGGCAAAATTGGTGCAAAGGGATCTCAAGCTAAGGCCCCATGTACAACCCCTTCCTTTTGCAGTGCACCCCATGCCCTCGTTGGCTAAAGGTCTAGGGTGGGGAGATCCTGCCATTATTAACCTTAAGAGGGGATGGACCGGCCTGCTGGGCTTGTGGGGGATGAGCAAGGACAGAGAACTGAGAATGAGGGAAGGAAGCCTCTCCAGGGACAGACGGCCTCCACGGTTCACCCTCTGTCCATGTGCTGGGCCACATGAACACCACTGCCTGCCTCCCCTCCCCACCCCTGTCCAAGGCTGGGAGGGGGAGAGAAGTCCCGTAGGTACATGAAGATCTAATCCAAACAGAAACACAACCCACTGTTCTGGTTGAGGAGCCTCCATACCAGGACACAGCAGTTCTTCCCAAATTAATTTCTAAAGGTGTTGACTGACAGCAGCCCAAACGAGGAGGGGTGGTAGCGGATGGCGGCAGTGGTGGTACCGGACCTTGGCAAAAATGAGACTTAAAGACAAGGTTCTCAAGTTCAGCTGGACGACACTTGAAAAATAAGAGTAGAGACTTACGCTATCTTATATGACAATGTGTAGTTTTAAGATTGTAATCGTAGTTACGCAGTGTTAGCAGTCAGAAGCAGGGGGAAGACCCAAGATCCACAGGGGAGGAGACAGCCAGGCGAAGACAGAGGCCCCAGAGCGCCTGCAGCCGCCAACGGCTGGAAGAGGTACTTACGGACCCTGCACCTGCCCCTCCGAGCCACTTGATCTGACTCAGGCCCCTGGACACCTGGCGGGACTGCCACGTGGGGCCCGGCTCACCCTTAGGAGAAACCAGTTCTGCTATTTAATAAACACTGAGTTAGCCTAAGACGCTGCATTGGAGACAAATGTGGTATAAATTATATCAGTTTTATCCCTGGGTAAAATGCCTAGAATTGTTCCTCTTAGTCACTCAGGGGCCAGACCACAAACAGAAGGCCCGGCTTTCTTCTGACTAGTATTTCTCAGGTGTGATCACCGTGCTGCCTGAAAGCCTGAAGTGCAGAATCCAGAGCCCACGCCCAGATTTTCTGAACCGGAATCTCACGGAGGGGGCCCGGGAATGTATGGTTTGGGAAATTTCCTCATTTGGTTTTTACTCACACTCGAGATTGAAAACTGGTGCACCAACGTGCGTGTGACCTCCCTTTCTGCTCTAACGCACTTGGCCTAGATTGTATTCTTGACTCTGTTACTGCCAATTGACTGAGCTTCCAACATCCCATCTTTAAGAGGGAGAAAAAATCTCCTCCGCTGCTGGGTGTTGGGCTAACATTCTCGAATCCTGAGATCGGAAGGACTCAATACCACAGCACTGTTGTTTACCAATCAACCTTCATCTGTGCCGGGCCCGCCCCGGCATTTTCCTTCGGTGCTGCAGGAAAATGCACCAGGCGGGAAGGGCCCAGATGCCGCGGAGATCACCGCTTCCCTCTCTCCCCACGTGCAGGGGCAGGTGAAAATGAGGAGCTGCAAAGGCTGATACCTTTCTTCCCCATTTTGCAATACTCTAAATCAGATCGCAGACGGCCCCCAGGCCCAACGGAGCCCCGGGTGTCTGGAGCTGTTCAGTCACTGGAGGCCCCACAGCCAGGCTCTGAAACCAGTTACTGGTGGACAGAGCCAGTCCCCGTCCCCACCACTCAGGGGCCGCCGTGCAAGCAAGTAACATGGCTGGGTGCTTGCTCAGTCCATGGTACAGGTGCTGCCAACTTACCATGGCTCAATTTAAGATTTTTCCACTTTAGGGTGGTGCAAAAGCCACATGTATTTAATACAAATCATACTTGGAAATTTTGAATTTGGATCTTTCCCCGGGCAGGGCTATCCTCTGTCGTGATGCCTGGTGGCAGCAGTGAGCAGCAGCTTCCAGACAGCCACACGATCTTTTCTGGGAGGCTTGAGGAAACTCATTTCAAGATTTTTATGTTTATGCGAAAAACTTTACTCCTGTCATATACACAAGCAAGCCCAGTTGCCATCTGCACTTTACTGAAGGTGATTCAGACCAAGAGTGAATTAAGTACCTACTCGAGGCCTTTGCGACCCTCCCTCCTTCCGTCGGCAGTTAGCGCTAGAATCCTACACCCTCAGAGAAAGGGACCTCAGGAGCTGCTGGGCCCAATCTCCCCAAATTCCAGATGGAGAAAAAGAGCTTTGGCTTTTGTCATTATTCCTTGTCATGAGATGCAACAAATTAGTCCCTTTCTGTCAAAGACTTCACCCCCATATGCTATCACGGCGGCCCCTAAACAATTATGTCTAGGTCATCTAAAGAATATTATTGGTAGCTTACGCCCAGGGAAGAATCTCCCTAGGAGGCCAGGGGGGATTTTGGCCAACGCTCCCCTACCCTTCAGCTGTGTTGGAGGCAGGAGAATGGGGGCTGCCCCTGGGTTCCCCTGAGGAGCAGGAGGAAGAGGGTGTGTCCCGGAAGCCCTCTGCCCAGCCGGGCTGGCTGTGGTGTAGGGGAAGGGACGCTGTGGGGTCTGCCCTGGGGGGAGGGTGGCTTTCTCAGCCCCCCAGGGCAGACTGGAGGCGTCCTTGACTCCGAATGGGGGCTCAGGACCCAGCCTGTAGGCCGGAGTGCCATCCCGTAGGAATACACAGCTCTTCCCCTCTGTCTGTCTCCTCCAGCTCCATCTAGAATTGTGAGAAAGAGCAGGAGACATGGGGTGAGCCCCCAGCGGGTGCCTCAGAGGGAGGCTTCGGTGGGAGTGACTGCCTTTGCACTCCACTTTGGGGCCCTGCGCCGTGGTCCTGGCACCCGCCACCGGGCAGGAATGCACCAGGCTTCAAAGGAGGCCCTAAAGCAGAGTGTTAAGCAGATTGACGGAAGCTACTAAAGAACTCAGCCTGGAGCAATCAGCAACTTTCCTCAGACTGCTGAGAGCCCAGCAAGCAGAGAAGGGATGAAAGTCTCCACTAACCCGGAGGGAAACAGAAACACCCAAGAGTGGATTCTATAGACAGTAATATGACCCAGTTCATAGAAAAATTATATTACCATTTGAAGTCATTGAAGCTGTTTCCAGCTGTGTCGGGAGAGAGACTGCTGCCCCCAGGGAAGAATGACCTAATATGGTAAAAGTGAATGTAATATCAAACATGTTATCCTGGAACAAAATAAATAGAATAATGTGCCTTGTATTCCTAGAGTGCTTTTACTTATTTATTTATTTATGTTGAAGTTTTCATTACCGGAGCCCTTGGCCAACATTCTCTTACTGCTTCACCATATTTCCTGTATAAAAATTGCCCTTAATATGTTCAAAACCTACTTCTCACTTACAGAAACCCTCAAGAATGCCTTGGTAGAATGCAGCTAAGTTTCAAAATGTGGAAGTCCCCCAGAGGAAGCTGACTGCAACAGAGTTAGTTCCTGGGCCCACTGCCCTTCTCCCCACTGGGCTCGCGGGGGCTCCGTGGTGGAATCTCAGCCCAGAGAGTGTTCTCCGCGCCAGGGTGCTCAGGCGGGTACAGGCAGGGGGAACTACACATTCATAGGCTGCTGTCGCCCCAACAGACGTGCTCTGTGGTCCCCAAGCTCTCTGCACTGTGGTGTGTGTGGGCCTGGACCCCACTTTCTCTTTGCCTTTCTGGGTACTGTGAATCCCCAAAAGGAGGTTAACTGTAAATCCACCTGTACAGCGGCAATGATGGCTTCTTTGTAGCTGAATGTTTTTTTTAAAGAGTGTCTCACGTCTCCTTCCTAAGAAGCAATAGCTGAGCGTTATGATCTCTGGCTTTTAAGATAAGCAAAAATGACACGAGGTCCAGAATTCTATGACCAGGAGCCACTGAGCCATGTTAGGCAGCAGATGGCCCTGCCATGTCTAGCTCCTTCTGTATTTCCAAACTGAAGCCTTCAACTAATGTCTGTTTCCACTCAGGTGTTCACTGACTACTGCAATCAGATTTCCCCCAGGATAATGAGCAAATTCATAGCCAGGGAGGTACTATGTGTTCTTTTCCTCTCCTATTTACTAGTTCAAGTTCCACATGGCAGCCATAAAAGGAGCATTCTGATTCTTATAAGCTCTAGCTTGGAAAAATAAATAAAGGTGAATAAGAATTTCCCACTCTCATCACCGTTACAAAGCCCCATGGAATCGATCTCACCACCCCAAGCCCCACTGAAATCAATGGGGTAATCTCCTGAATTCATTTTCACGGGATTTGGCTTTGTAAAAATAATTGGATTGTGTGGTACTCTAACTCTCTTTTCAGGAAATAGAGAAAATGTGCCTTTGCTAGTAGGTGGGGGTGAAAAACTCCCCCAAGTGCTGGTAGGTTTCACCCTGTGTTTTCGGTATTGGCTTGTCAAGAGGAGCTATTATCCTGTCCCAAATGAGCCTGTACTACCCTCAGTGAGGTGTTTAAAACCGCCTTCCCTAGTGAGAATGAGAACACTTCTTTTGTTCCCATCTTTAAAATTAACTGCACAGTATCACCACTATCAATGAGGTGTTTAACATCAAAATTGCCTCCCCTGGTGAGAAGAAAAAAACTTACTTTGTTTCCTTCCTTAAAATTAATTGAGGTTTTTAAAAACTCATTCTTATTCAACCAACAGTTGCATAGAAGGGGAGAAGAGCAGACGATAGGGTGTTTAAATGTTGCTTTTGGGAGCCCAAGAAAGGTCGACAGCACGTTCTTTTTGTTGAGACCACTTGCCGAACGCTGTCCTGCGCCTCTGCTTTATTGTCCCCCCATTATCTTTTATAACACTGGTCTCATCCGTGTGACCCTTGGTGGGGAATTAATTAATAGGTACTTGCTAGAATGAAGGAAGGAATGTCTCCATCAACCCAGATATTTCCTCTTGGTTTGCAGATTTTCTGCAAGCCTACTCTTCCAATGGGGTTAAAGAAATTGCTTATTAAAAATTAAAATTAATCTCTAGCAGTAATATCTGTAGATATGGCTAACGATGTTCCCTTCCCTCATTTTCTCAGGAATTGCAGAGGTGACTCTTTTAACGGTCTGGCTAGGAATTGAGACGTGAGGGTTGTGTGGGCACCGCCCTTTGCAAGATGCCGAAGAATGAGGCAGGCAGAAGAGGCGGCATCTTGACTTTTACTAGTCAGAAGTTCCGGTAGGTGTAGAAGGATAAAGCACCAGACTAGCCCTTATCCAGCTAAAAAACTGTCCAAAGGAAGGGAGAGCTGGGAGGGGAGGGGAGGGAACCAGGAGAACTGGACCGCGGGTGAACTTCACCAGGTCCTGCTGCCCCTGTCACCCGGGCTGAACTGCAGAGGGAGGAGGAGGCCCGGAGGTCCTTGAGCAAGGTGACCATACATCATTCCCAGTAGAGCCCAGGGCAGCGGCACAGGCATGGCATCGAGGAGCAGACTAGACAGAAGCAAGCAGACGTGGGACAGCCCAAGAGCGAGAGCGCTGGCGTCCTCAGCGTGGCAGGTTCCCAGTGCCTGAGGCAAGCAGGGTGTAGCAAGGAGGGTCCCCCAACCCAAAGAGGCTGTGCCACAGGGGCGGGGAGAATGAAGCGGTGGCCTACATGGACCTACATGGACCGAAGGATGATGGATATTTCAGGGGATGCCCAGGCAAGTCCTCGACCTTGACCCTCAGCCCCTGAGCCTCAGCACCAGGTAAACTCTCTGGAATGGATACTTAAATTGCTGAGTGGATTGAAATTAAATTACCACCACTTGGTGGAATGGGACCTTGAAGCAGAAAATGAGTTCAGTCATAGAAAAATAGTTACATTTCTTTGCACACCTTGAGTTTGTGGACTCAGTTCATTTGCTACCATGTCATTTGCATAAGCCAAAAAGCCAATTGTTACAACTGCATCATGACCAGATAAAACCTAAAACATGTTTTTAAAGTTCATTTTCATTGACTGTAAGCTATGTACCAGATACTGACCTATTCTCTCTATGTACAGGATCTCCTTGTAATTCATAGATGCAACTATCCTCATTTTCCAGTAGAGGAAAAAGATTTAGAGAAGTTAAATAATTTGCCCAAGGCTGCACTGGTGATAAATAATGAGCCAGAATTCAAACCCAGGAATGTCTGACTTCTACGTCAATATTCTTACCCACTACATTAAATAAACTACACACAGTCATCTCCTTTGGCTTCCTAAGCATCTCCAAGAACATTCCTTTCTACTGTCTCTGCTGCTCCTCATTTCAAAGCAATCACACATTCACATTACTGGAGCCCTGGGTACAAAGAAGCGCAAAGCTCTTATCCTTCCTGCTTCTTGTTTCCAAATCCCCCAACAATTAGAAAGATTATCGCTGTTGTAATCTTAGTGCCTGGACTTACAAGTGTTAGCTCAGTTCCTATTTCTTTTGCAGCCATTACACTTTGTGAGTTAATCAAAATTGCTTATTAATTAAACTTCACCAAGGAGCAAACTAGGACAGGAGACAGAGTGCTAGACTTGAAGTCAGTAGACGTACGTCCCTTGGTTTCTCATTCTTGCCTTTCCACTAACAATTGTTTGACATGGGCAATCAGATCATGTAACCTCTCCGACCCTCGTTTCCTCATCTACAAAATAAGCACAGTTTTAAGGTTCCCTTCTAGCTCTAACTTGCCATGATTTTGCCAAGCCAGGATCAAGTGTATCATTATTGTATGGGAACTTGAACTGTTCTTCTCCGAACACTAACTCTTCTCTGATCTCTAGCTGTATCTCACTCCTAGATTTAAAATTCCCACATTTTGGGATATGGGAAGAGTTTTCCAAAGGAATGGGAGGTTACATATAATAATACCTCATCTGGTCAGCATTAGGTGGAAGATGAAGACTAAAAAGGTAAGATTGTTTTGAGGAAGGCTTTATGTAAGACTACATAAAGAAATACAAGAATTGCTCTAAAAAGATGTCATCACTTTGGCTAAGGTGTGGAGGAAAGGAAGCCTTCTTGGTAACAGGGCCTCACACAAGAGAATTGCCCTGTGCCATTTGAAACTGCTTACTATCATCTTTTCTTTAAAATCTTTTCCGGTATTTGATGATCCTTCTGTTCACATGGCAGTTATATGTGGCAGCAATAATGCACCTAGTTATTGGGCAATTTGGGAACTAGGAGCAGAAAGATGATGAGCTTGGTGCTTCTTTGTATGGGGCTTCTTTGCTCCAGTATGTGAATGTGTGATTGCTTTGAAATGAGCGGCCTAGACAGTAGGAAGGAATGTCCCTGGAGATGTCTAGGAGGCCAAAGGAGGAGACAGTGCGTAGTTTAACTTAGTGGGTAAGAATACTGACGGAGGAGTCAAGACTTCTGGCTCCATCATTTATCACCATTGCAGCCTTGGGCAAATTATTTACCTTCTCTAAATCTTGAGTGCAAATTCTTTGATTATTGAATTCGTTCTTTCCTTTGTATGATATTGACCTTATTCAGATGTCTTATTATTCTTGGGGTGGACCCCATGACTCCAACTTACGCAATCAGCATGTTTCATACCCCTGGCCACAACGTTTACTTAAGAAATGATTCAACAGAACCAGTGGATTCCCAATAGTATTTCAGGACATTGGCAGAAACTGTCAGGAAAGGTAAGTTATCTCTCTACAGCAGTTGTGTGTTGGATCCCAGCCACTCCTGTTCCTTCAAAAACTGCCCCCTTCTTTTTCTTCACTATCCTCAGAACCCCCTGGGTCAGGTCTTCCCAGTCAGTAGATGGACATGCTCAAGCTACTGCGATTTTAATTTTAAAAGCTGCTTAGAACCTATGATCCTCTCCTGCTTCATCTCCTTTCTCTCTTTTGCAATCAAATGCCTCAATTTCCTAGTCCTGGACTCAATCCAGTTTCGAGTGTGCCTCCATCAGACCGCCAAAACTGTTTTTGCTGAGCTCCCCTGAGAGTCCCAACTCTAAATCCAACCAGCATAAATTAATACCAGCATTCCTCTTATTTCTCCCCAGCTACTGACACAGAGGACCATTCCCTTCTTAAAAACATTCTCTTTCACTTTCAGGAGCCCACTTCTTCTCACTGGGATTTGGCTGACCTTTGACCTCATACGTTGTTTTGTGTACAAGTTCCGGGTGGAATGTTTATCAAGTCCGACCCTGACATCGACTAGAGCATTTGTTCCCACACAGCCCTGCATGCCCAGGGCACCCTTAACCCTCTGCTTGCTTCTACACTCATCTTCAGGAGCAGAGCCGCTCTCTTCAGGTTGCTCCCTTGAGGAAGCCACCTTGCAGAGAAAAAGCCAGCTCACCACTGGGATTTTCATTGGATTTTTTCAGACACACAGTAGCCACAGGTTTAATGAATGTGCTTCCACTTGTAGTGGAAAACTTAATTCCTGAAATTAAGAGAATTCAGTCACTTGTAGCTTAAAACTCAATTTAGGGGTTTTGGGGTGAGAAATTCCTCAGTTGGTTTGGATTTTCTTCCCTGATCGGGTTTCTAGCAGAGGCAGTAGTCAGGGGAGAGGCTCAGGTATCATTGCAGCACAGTCTCTGGGCTTCTGTCTTTCTGTGCCTCTTACCTGTGAGATCTAGCGAGTGAGCTGTCTCATCTCTCAGTACAAGCAGTGCACGTTGGTCATGGCAGGAGTTGAGGGTTCTCCCCTCTGAGTTGGCTGGACCTGGATCTCAGGGGCAGGGTGACTTTAAGAACTAGCTATTGTCTCCTTTGCAGACCTGGCCTGTCCACCCCTCCGACTTCAAACGGACCATGGTGCCTGGGAGGCACTTCTGCATTCTTCTCTCTCTCAAGCCTCTGGGACTTTTGGATTCCTCTGGGCCCTGTGAGAAACAAGGTGTGGTTTGTGTTGGTGGGTAAGGGAGGGAGTGGTGTAGGTGGTTATCAGAATTACAAAAGGCCTTCTCTGCGCTCATTTCTTCTCTCCTAAAGGCCAACCTGTGTGGGCTCAGGACCCTAAAGTTCCAAGCAGACCCCACACTTCCGGCCTCCCACCCCCTCATTGATTTTATTAATTCTCTTCTCACCTTTCCTGAATTCCCTGTCCCAGGCCTGGAAAGGAATTTGTCTCCATATGGTGAAAGGCCTTTTGTAAAAATATGCTTTTCTTCTCAACTTTGTGGTCCGTGGTCCACATGGATCTTTATATGCAAAGTCAACTTTTTAAGAATCAAAAAGAAAAACATATGTACCTTCTCTGTCAAGCAACTGGCTCTTGCAAATAAGTACTCCAGCTTTCAGACCATATTGCTTTTATTATAACTTTAGAAATGACTTTGAAATGCAGGCTCTATTTGCTCAGCTTTGAAGGCAACGAAGCCCATGGGTGGAAGGCTACATGGCAACAAGAAAAAAGTGAGAAAATTCTTGGTTTAAAATTCATAGACATCATGTAGGTATGTAATCAGAGATTATTTTACTTGCTATCTCCTCGCAAAGAATTCATGAAAGGAAAAACCATAGGATTTTTCCAGTCTTCTAAACTGCCAGATTTCTGCATCCTTTCGTCTAAAAGTTTCAGCAATTTACAGTGAAAAGGAGTAAAGAACAAAACTAGAAGCATAATCCCAAGCTTCAAAATTTCTTTGTTCCTGTGTTTTTATGCAGATTCTTTTGGCATTGGCAAGAAAAGGGGCAGTATTTTTTTTCATATTTATGGCTGGATTTTTATTGTTCCCGCATTGTGTGTAAATTACATGTCTTTTTAAAATCTTATCTTAGTGACTTTTGTTTGCTTCTTCTGATTCAAGAATTTTAAATTCAAAGCCCACAAACACTTAGTGACAGGACTTGTCATTTATCACTGTTACACATCCTTTATTTTGACTTATTAAAATTTATTAATCTTAAAATACATTCATCTTAAATTTCCTGAAAAGAATATAATTATTCTTAAATTTCCTGAATATGGAAACGTAATGAGCACGCCGGCAGTAGTGTTAAGTGTGGACATTCTGAAGTGGAAAAATTGCAAGGAAAAAAAATGGCTCCAAGAGGGGAAGGTTGGGGGCGGTGGAGATAAACAAGCCGTTTTCCGCGCCCCGAGGGCTACCTGTCCAGTTGGGGGTTATTGTTTGCTGCTTTAAGGAAACACTACAGCTACAGAAAGTCCTCCACGCAGTGTATCGTGGAGCGCAAACGCGAGAGGCGGCACTGCCTGGGTTGACCTGCGGAAACCAAGCCCAACCCTGCGGGGCAAAGGCGTCTCAAAGCCTGGAAGCCACCGGGCAACGTCGAGCTGCAGTCCTCGTTTAGCCTCACTGTCTTAGGATTACTATTTACGCGAATAGGCGCCCCCACGTTCCCAAGTGCCCGCGACCCGGACGGACTCGGGATGCTTCGCCTGTCGACGTTCACAACAGCGCTCGCAGCGGATTGTGACACAACCGAAAGATGGAGGCGAGCTTTTGTTTACGATGGCCAGGCTCGAAGCCAGCGTCCCGGGGCGGGGACGCACAGCCCCGGCACCCGAACCGCCCCAAGCCCGTGAGGACGCGCGAGGAGGCGGTGGGAGCGCGCGGCGTCACAAAGCCGGGCCGGGAAACGCCGGGAAACCCCGCAGCCCGGCCCCCTCCCCGGGCGCCGCCACCGCCTCTCGGGGCCGCAGCGCGCTGGCCGCCGGGCGCCGCAAAGCGCCCTGGGAAAGCGCCGGAAAGACGCGCGGTCGGTCGGCGGCGGCGAGGTTATAAAAGGGAAGGAGCGCGCGGCGGGCGGAAGTGGGCGGTTCGGCTGCTGCGGGCGCTGCTGTTCGGCGTCTGGACCGCGCGAGGGGCGTTCTCGGCCTGCCGCTGGTGCAGGCCGCAGTGACAGGGCCCGCGCCCCCGCGTCCCCCCCTCTCCTCCGGTGCGGCGGCCCCAGCGGCCTGCAGGCCCAACATGGCGCAGGAGGTGTCGGAGTACCTGCGCCAGAACCCGAGGCTGGCAGCCTGGGTGGAGGCGCTGCGCTGCGAATGCGAGACCGACAAACACTGGCGCCACCGCCGGGAGTTCCTGCTCCGCAACGCCGGGGACCTGGCGCCCGCCGGCGGCGCCGCCTCGGCGGACGCGGGGGAGGCTGCGGACGCCGAGGGCGGGAGCCGCGGGCGGGAGCTGCAGCAGCTCGTCTCCTTTTCCATGGCCTGGACCAACCACGTCTTCCTCGGATGCCGGTGAGTGCGGAGGCGGCGGTCCGCGCTTTGTCCCCCGTCGCCGGACTGGGGCCTGGAGCGCAGCGCGGGAATCCGCGGGACCGGCTGCCCTCGGAGGGCGCAACGGGCGTCTCTGCCCGAAGCCGGCGCGGTTAACAGCCCGTAGGGGTCCCCCCCCCCCTTAGATGGAGGGCTGCTGGTGCAGTTGCTGGCTGGCTACGCTCCGGTGGACGGACACTAAATTTAAAGGTTGCTGGGGAAGGACCCTGCCTCCCAGACCCCGGGGCATTTGTTTATGGGGTTCCAGGAAACACAGTTCTTGGCGGTTGGGACATTTTATTATAACCAGGAAATGCAGTTCCTGTGGCCCGTTCTTGCATACCAGAAGTATTGCTTAGGAAAAAAACTTTAAAAGTGTCTTTTCCTTCTTTTTCAGGTACCCTCAAAAAGTTATGGATAAAATACTTAGTATGGCTGAAGGCATCAAAGTGACAGATGCTCCAGTCCATACAACAAGAGACGAACTGGTTGCCAAGGTGAAGAAAAGAGGGATATCGAGTAGCAATGGTTAGCAGATCATAGATGTGAACATACATAGGAGTTTAGAATATGTTTGATGTAATTAGGAATTACTGTTACTAATTTTTTAACAAGCTGGAATTTATGTAACGTTCAGTTGAAATGTTAAATTTGTCTGTCTTTTACTCTGAATTTGATAGTTCTCTTTGACTTCTTTAGATTTTGAAGTGTCAAACGTCTTATGCTGTTGATTTTTTAATATTTGAAACTAATGATGTAATTCAATAATGTTTTAAAAGAAATGAAGTTACTCTACACTTTTTAAAGAAACTATCCGTTCCTGAATCTTCTTGCCTTGTACCTTTATTTTAATGAGTATCTGTCTTAGAAATTTTCAGCTGATACGTATGAGGTAGACGTAGTCACATATCTGTTTTCCTTCTTTTTAGAAGAGGTAGAAGAGCCGGTGAAGAAGCGAGTCATAGACGGAAAAAACAATTCTGCAGTTGAGCAAGATCGTGCAAAAACTTCTGCCAAAACAGAACGTGCGTCTGTTCAGCAGGAAAGCAGCTCGGCATGTTCTAAGTCATCCACCAAATCGGAGAGTAGTGGAAACTCCGCTGGGAGCGCTGGCACCGTGGGTCAGAGTAGCTCTACAAGTGATGGAGATCAGCCCGTCTCCAGCCAGAGCAGCAGCAGCAGCGTTTCCTCTCAGGTACCAGCGGCGGGGTCTGGGAAAGCCGAGTCGGAAGGTCCAGATAAGCATGGTGGTGCAGCCGCTCTTGTTTCCTTGTTGAAATCTGGTGTTAATAGTCCTGTGACCCAGTCCACTGAGTCCAGACAGCCAAGTGGATCACCTAAAAAGAGTGCTTTGGAAGGCTCTTCAGTCGCAGCCTCTCAGAGCATCTCAGAGGTCGAGGTGCCCTTGTTGGGCTCCTCTGGAAACGCGGAAGAAGAGTTGCCACTGTTGGCTTCTAAACCTAGTTCAGAGACAGCTTCAAGTGGGTTACCTTCCAAAACTAGTTCAGAGGCAAGTGTTTCATCATCGGTTCCTAAAAATAGCTCCTCATCAGGCGCATCCTTACTAATGCCCCAGAGCAGCACCTCAAATGCGTCCGTGCTGACTTCCAAGACCACTTCACAGGTAGCCGCGTCACTGTTAGCTTCCAAGAGCGGTTCGCAGACCAGTGGGTCTCTGCTTCCCAAAAGCACTTCCTTAGCAAGTGTGTCTCAGCTGCCTTCTAAGAGCAGTTCTCAGACTAGCACATCACAGCTGCCTTCTAAAAGTGCGGCACAGTCAAGTGAGAGTGCTGTCAAATTCTCTTGTTGCAAGTTAACCAATGAGGATGTGAAACAGAAGCAGCCTTTTTTCAATAGACTGTATAAAACGGTGGCGTGGAAGTTGGTAGCTGTTGGTGGTTTTAGTCCCACTGTGAATCACGGAGAGCTCCTCAACGCAGCTATTGAGGCTCTGAAAGCAACACTGGATGTGTTTTTTGTCCCCCTGAAAGAACTGGCAGATCTGCCTCAAAACAAAAGCTCTCAAGAAAGTATTGTTTGTGAATTGAGATGCAAGTCTGTGTATTTGGGCACTGGCTGTGGAAAAAGCAAAGAAAATGCAAAAGCAGTTGCATCAAGAGAAGCATTGAAGTTATTTCTCAAGAAAAAGGTGGTGGTAAAAATATGTAAAAGAAAATACAGAGGCAGTGAAATAGAAGACCTGGTACTCCTTGATGAAGAATCAAGGCCTATAAACTTACCTCCAGCATTAAAGCATCCTCAAGAATTACTGTAGTATGTCCAGAATATCACTGCATACAGTGTCTCATTTGAAGAAAGGAACTGGCTTACTTTTGTATAATATAAAACACAGGCTTTCACAAATTTTGTATTGCTTTTTTCCAGTTTTGCAGAAAATTTACATTCTAGTTCTCTTCACACAGTAGAAGCTGTAAATACTTTATGAATGACAGCACACATTAAAAGGTATGCAGTAACAGCATCTCAATATGCTGTTTAATTTGCTGACGAAAATACTGTCTTCTATTTTTAATGATCCATTAGGTACGATGTGTAGTTCTATAGAGTCTTAAAATTTTTGTACTATGAATTTGGTGAAAATGTATTAAATTGTCTACCATGTTTTTTTTTTCTTTCTAGCAGAGTAAATCACATCAAAGAAAAGGGGACCATAGTATTTGAATCAAAGTCTGTGAACCTTAAGGTTTTAAGAGTGTTGCTCATAATGTTGAACGTGTTAAAGAATAAAAGAAGAAATAGTTGCCTCAGACTATTTTTATGAGAAGTTGTAAGCATTTTTAGGTATAAAGCAATATAAAGTACTTAAGTTTATTTTATTCTGAGGTTGTTAAATTCACCATGATTTTGACACTGCAGATTCTTTAAGTGGGTTAATTTATGTTTTGAGCTGAAATACAATTTACACTTTTTCTTAAAAGACATAAATGTGGGTTTCTATATTAAGCATATTTTGTGACTACTATTAACTGATTGATTTGTTTAGATATTAAATGCTTTAAGCTATTTTACCTTTTCAAGAAGTTGTGGTTTTTTTTTTTCCGACCAAGTCAGAACCAATTCCTGCAAGTAGGCTTCCCACTACTAGTCATTGTAAGTTACAACCAGGTAATTTTTCATAACTGTATACAACTTTTTTATGGATAGAGAAGTTAGAGTTTGCAAATCTAAAGCTAGATGGGTTTTTTGTTTGCAATTCTCATAGAAGAATACTGGGGAAAATAGCCATATTCCGCTCTCATGAGTCTATTCAATTAAATTACATTTGTTAGGAAAGAAATTGAATCCTGTGTCTGTATCTTAGGTGTTTCTGGCTGTGTACTTGATTATAGTATATAATTGTAATTGTTGTTTTTTTTGTTTTTTTCCCCAAACACTGGCCCAAAATTTTTTGCTATTTTTGTGGCCTTTTTTCTGGCTTTCTAGATGCTGCACATAAGCAGTAGTAGTGATAATGTACAGAGATAAATCAAGAAATAACCTTTTACATGCCAGTTACATTGCGGTAGAAAATGGACCATAAGTGGCACGATTTTAAGTATGTAGAAGTTAATTCATACTCTAGAAATAATAGACAAGGTTACTTTTTATGTACTTCAAATAATTAGTTATTTTTATTCTACCAGATAACTTCTTTTACAAATGGTCACTTCTTAGCATGTTAAATTGGCTGCCAAAGCTCAGTCCATACTCTGTAAATGGGCAGCCTTCACATGCTGTGAGAAGCAGTGACGCGGCCACTGTGAAAGCGCTTTGACCGCCGCCTCTTCCTTCAGCCTTGGAGTGTGTGTTTTGTGGGACAGCGATTGCCAGAAAAGTGAGCCGAATATTACAAAGAACAAATAAATTTTTGTAATGTATCCAGTTAGGTGGCTTGGTAATTTCCTAAATTGGCTTGTTTCGAGTTAATATAAAGTTTATTGAAAATATTTTTAATTATAGTAACCTTTTGATATTATTGGAGGAAACTGCTTAGTGTAAAAAGCAGACATTTAATTTAAAACATTTATTTGCTATAACCTTATTAGAAGCTTTTATAATACTCTTAATAGGATTTGAAGAATCCCTGATTTAAGAGAAGTGCATATTTTGTAATTCTAGATAGTATAGTGCAGAAGAAAAGCTTTGGGATCTCTTATTCTTGAGATAGAATCTTGGCTTTTTCTGGGAATTTAACCTTTTAACTTGTAAAATGGAAGTAACAGCTGCCTCAGAGAGCTGTGAAGGTTAAATGAGATGATACGTTTAAGGTGCCAGTATAGTGCAACATTCCATAGTCATTAATTACGTGTACATGTGTACTCATCGCTTCACAACCTTATGAATAGCTGTTCTCATTCGGCTCATTTATCAAGTGAAGAAAAAATAATTTGGTCAGAGATCGAATTCCAGCCCATATTTGATTCAGAGCCCAAGCTCTGACTATATATATATATTTTTTAAATATTTTTTTATTAAGGTCTGACTATATTGCTTATTACCTTTCTCGTTTTTCTAAGTACTAAAATGTCTGAAAATCCCCCTCAGGCTGTGGTTTTCTCCCAGTTTTATTAAGTAACCTTAACATCTTTCCCAAAGTTTCATTTCCTTGAAATGAGTCACATCCTGAGCTCTTCTGTTTATTAGTGCTTCTCCTTAGTACTTGAATGTCTTGAATATTCTCACTAGGGAATTATCCTATATGGGTGCAGCTGAAGTTTGTTGAACACCCAAAAATAATTTGCAGTCAAGTTTATAAAATAATTTATGATAGGAAATACTGAATTTTTTTAAAAAGATTAGGCTAAATGATGTCCTGTCACTGGCTTTTTCTGAGAGTACTAGAGTTGGGATGATTTTTTTAATGGTAAAGTTAGAAGGGTTGACTTTGAAGAATAGTATTTTGGATTTTTAAGCCAAAATCTTGGGGTCTGCCACTGCCACCACTAACTGGGGTAATTGTCCTAAGGCCGTGTGTTAGTGAAAGCCCGCTCCAATCTGAGTTGTGTGGGGAAGGGCTATCATTTCCCTGCGAAATCCAGCTTTTCCTGGCACAGGTTCCACATTGGCTGTTGGGATTGCTGAGTGATGGCAGTGAGACGTGACAGCAAGCGTCAAGTGGGAACCAGGTCAGTCCTACCATTGTGCTGCTCTTGTGATTTGGGGGGAATTTGTAGGTTTTGTCCTCAAAAATTGTGCTCTCAACTCACCAGGACAATGGTAAACCTGTGGATATCAATTTCAGCATGGCTTTTGAGAAATATTTTCTGTGGTTAGATAAAAATTTTGTAGCTTTCTACCATTTAAACAAACGCAGGGGTTGTTGAGCCATTAGTTTTCTCACTACCCCTCTGTAAGAAAAATACTAACAGATTTCATATTGCCCTGGCTTTCCTGAACACAGCTTAGTTGTTACCCATCTAGAACCATTCCTTTTTGCTTTTCTTTTTCTACCAGCTTTAATTAATCTCCACTTTTCTGTTTCCCTTCTTTAAAAATACTACTGAAGATCATTATCTGAAAATGAACAGTTAAAAAGTTATCTTTTTCTGTCCCTTTGCTGTTTATACAGAAAGAAAAATAGTGAACAAAGTCTCAAACTAAATTGACTAACTTGAAGGGGAAAAAATGGAAAACTAACCAGGAAGGGTTTGATACAGGACATTCTTTTCAGTAATAAGCAGAGGTTTCATACGCCAGTACTGACAAGAAGCAAGCAAATACGTTGTGATTTTGAAACTTCGATGGCTAGAATGTGAGTCCTTAGACATTAGGAAGCAACCAAATGTAAGATAAACAGTAAATTATATAGAAATGGAACTATTATAAGTAATGGTGGTTAGTATTGGTGGTCTTACGTTACAGATGAGAAAACTAGCAATTTCTAATTGTGTCCCTCAAATCACAGCTAGTCAATGTTGAAGCAGGAACTCAAATCCCGTGTTTTTACAGAAGACTAAACAATGGCTTGGTTCTAATCTGGGTCACAATGTGAACACCAGTGAGGCATGCTGCCTGTCCCGTGATACTTATTTCCATGTCCCAGGAAATAGTGTAATCATACTTTGAGGAAAATTCGAAAAATTTTATTTAACTATGAAAACTAGGAATCTTCTAACTGAACTTTAAAAGAAACTGCTCAAATATGTATTTGAAGTAACCATTAGAAAATATTTTCTTGACATTCAGTTTGTAGAATTCAAAGGGACAATTCAGAGGCAATGATATAATCAGTGATATCAGTTGGAACAGATTATATATCTTATGAATCCTGTCTCATTCATCTTCACCATTTATATATTATTAGTTTTCTACACTAGCTATGGATAAAATAGTTCTCATGAAATACCTAATAGAGGTCCATGGAAGCATTTCCTGTGTACTTGACCTGGGGGCACTGATAGTGGAATGCACTTAATGAGGGAGTTATCAAATATGCCTAATGACCTGCAGTTTGGAAGCCAGTATGGGGTAGAGTTCTGCACCTTTCTATCCTTGTTTTTCATTTCAAAATACTAAATGCAGCCAATGAGAAGTGTGAAATCGGTAAAAAAAAATACTACTCTGAAAATACTCATTCCTTTTCCCTGTAATTCACGTTGGCTAGCAGCCATTCTGCCCTTAGGCTCATATAGGGACAGAGAGAACATCATGTGACTTTAGGGAAGTCTACCCATTTCAGGCCCGGTAGGTTTTGAGGAGGAGAAGGGTACAAAAGGTAAGCAGCATTTTAGACATGTAGGTTCTGATCTCTACAGCACAAACTTCACCTGGGTCAGTACCATGAGGTGGCAGTAATGACAACTCCCACTTAATGAGCATGACTTGTTTATCCCCTGACTATAAAAAAAAAAAATGTAACACTATAAAAGAGAAAAAAAGAAAAAAAAAAAAAAAAAAAGAAAAAAATCCTGAAGGCATCAAGACCTTAAATCCAGAGCCGCTGAGTTGCACAACAGCAGGGGGCACCATTCTCCTGGGATACCAGGGAAGTCATTTAACACAATGTATGATGTCTATTGGAGCTGTGGGGATGTGGCCCTTTTTGGAATTTCTGAGATCACAGTTTGCATGGTATGAACTTATAGAAAAATCTTACTTTAAAAAAGTAATATGAAATAAAATTATTGGTGGTTCTATGAAGCATGGATAGCATACATTCTAACACTGTTCTTGGGGGGAGCATTTGTTAAAGCTATTTGATGATGCTGAAGGCACAGTTTATATTTGGTCGTGAATAACTCTGCCCAACACGCTGAGGAATTATTTCAAGACAATAGCCTAAAATGATTACGTGAAGTAAGGCTGCTTGGGTTATGTTAAGGGTGTTTTTTTTCCTCTATTCACAAAGTTTGGGGGAAGTTCAGGAACTAGGCAGATAAAGAAGTATGTCGCTCAGGTGTGGAATTACACTCAGTTGGCTTTGTGTTCTCTCCTACAGGTACGGTCCTTAGTTATATCAGATTTGCTTCTCTATATTTGACGTAAACCCCCCCCTTTCTTGCTCAGTTTCCCTTTCACCTTTCTTTCTCTTTGCTCCATTGATTTTTTTCTTGGTTGTTACCATTTGCTTATGTGAGCTAATATAAAACAGCAAAGATTTTAAGATTTTTACTTTCTGAAACCATGGGAAATAGTCCTTCAGAAGTCAGCGTCCTATAAATTTCAATGTGATGTTGGTTCTGGGAAAATAGTGAAAGAAAATTGCTGGCAACTTTCTATCTCTGTCAGTATAAAATAAAGGGAAAAGAGTGGTACACACAAAATAATACAGGGTCAGCTCAACTCTGTTTCCATGAAACACATCTGTGAATTTTTGGTAGACTTTGGCACTTTTTTAGAATTTAAAATTCTGTCCCTTATTGTAAGGGAATCCATGCCACCAGCATCAAAGCCAAGCTTCCCTACTGGGTCTTGACCTAAAGCAAGCCAACTAAACTAACATCAGCAGCCTGTTGATTTTCCATTGCCACTGTGACAAATTACCACAAATTTGGTGACTTAAACAATACCAAATCTGTAGGTTAGAAGTCCAGCATAGGTCTCCCTGGGCTCAAGTCAAGGTGTTGGCACCTCTGTTTGCTTCTGGAGGCTCAGAGGGAAACTGTTTCCTAGCCTTTTCCTGCTTCCGGAGGCTGCTTGTGTTCCTTGGCTAACGAACCCCCTCTTCATCCGCAAAGTGAGCAATGGTGAGTTGAGTCCTCAAATAGCATCACATGGACTCTGTTTCTGCTGTCACATCTCTTTTCTGACCCTGACTTCTCTGCCTCCCTCTCGACTTTCTCTGCCTTCCTTTTCCACTTACAGAGCCCCCTGTGATTACATTAGGTGCACACGGATAATCGTCAGAGATGCAATAACTCAGGGAAGAAAGAACGAACAGGAATAATACAGTAAGACGTAAGCTGGAGGAGCTCGGGAAGCAAGTAGAAGAAAAGTACAGCCACTAAAGATGGAAACAAATTAGAAGAACCACAAGGAGAATAGACACAGCTGTTGACACAGGAGCACAGAGGATAAAGAGCATAAAAGTGGGGAAAAGAAATTTAAAACAGGGTTAGGAAAGATTAGAGAGAGAAAATGATAGGGAAAATAGAGAAAGGAGTTACCATAAGCGTAACTGGAGTGTTCAAATAGTTGAACAGGACAAGGAATGTGTTCAAAGAAAACAACCAGCCAACAGGCTCAAAATGGAGTCACTTGTGCTAAGCCCATGTCACCAAACCAAAACTTAATACCTAACCTAACTGCAGTTTCAACCTCCCCCAGGAATGTAGTCTTAAACTGGTCAGTCTGGGATTTTCCTGGTCAGCAGTAATGAGGTAATTTGCCTGACAGATCCCTTTCATCCCCCCAAAAAAGATGAGGAAATCTGCCTTTTCCTTGTCCCTCCTTCTTTTTGCCTATAAAAGCCTTCCATTTTGCATAGCTTTTCAGAGCAGTTTTCTGTTTCCTAGATAGGATGCTGCTCGATCCACAAATGACTGAAAAAAGCCAGTTAGATCTTCACATTTACTCGAATTGTTTTTTAACATGTATTTCAGGAAAATGTGTATGAAATAAAACTGGAATCAATGTCAAAAGAGCACATTGCATTCCAGGAAAAATTAATTCATAATCCTAAGTATTTAGATATATCTTAGTCAAGTTACCGGACTTCAAAGATTAAAAAAAAAGAAGGCTTTGGGTGTCCAGGTGAAAAAATCAAGTTATTTATAAGAAAAAACTCAGACTGACCTCAGACTTCTTTGCAGCCACATTCAGCACCAGAAGACATTAAGAAGGAAATGTGACCCAAGAATTGTACACCCAGACAATGACTCCAATGTAATGAGAAAGAAGCAATTTTTAACGTTCAAGAATTCAAGGAATATTGTCCCCATGAGCCTGTTGTAAAAACTGTACTAGGAGAAGTTTTAACCAGCAAGAGATCACTGGGAATGCTAGCGCAGATGGATTGGCAGTGATCAGTGACTGACAGCAGAGCAAAAAGGAGAGCAAACTCAGAGATGAAAGTGACAGAAGAGGAAGCAGGGGCTCTGTTCACAATCTGTGCTGATGGTGTCTCATGAATGGATGGCTCCGTGAGAAGTCTCACCTCTCGTAAAGAAGAATGTCGCCTCACTGCTTTCCTCAGAGAGGTTCCAAAGTAAAAAACTCTTGGGGATGAAATGACAAGAGTTCAGAGTGATTTTACAAAAATGGTAAAATGCATTTAAAGCAAAGCCCCGTTCACCTGGGTATGTTCTGAAAACTAAAAACCTGGACAAAGGCACATAAATCTCTTGGTACGAAGAGAAATCCGGTGGCTTAGCAGAGGAAGGGCTCTCCCTCTGGTGCTTGAGCTGACAGGTGACTTGCAGGAGTATTTTTGAGAAAATAGTAAGCTAGACTTTTCTGGGTGCTTTGAAAATAATGTCAGCAGAAACTAGCCTATCTGGCAAACACTTCACCACATGAACTAGTTGAATGAGTATCTACAAGGCCTGCGAGAAAACGTCTGACTCCCAACTGAGAAGTTCTTGGGTTTAAAGAAAACAAATGAATTTTTGGAAAAATCATGTTGATGAAGAAAATCTTGAAGTGTTTCCACTGTTCTACGAACGAGAGAAGATATCAGTAAGTCTCAAGCCTCACTGAAAACCACCTGAAGAGCTGCCGGCTAAACTGGAGCTGTGTTTTCCCTCCTTTCAATGCCACCAAAGGCCTGGGCAAGGGCCTCTTTCTCTGAATTTGCTCAGCTTGAGAACTCAGCTTTGAGAGAAGACTGAGAACTTTGTGAACTGCGCTCTGACCGGATACTCTAGATGACATTCCTAATCTCTCCCGAGACAAGTGCTGGATTTTTGCAAAAGAACAGTGTCCTGCCATTCATAGGCAAGCAATGAAAGTTTTTCTGCAGTGTACAACTTTTTACTCATGTGAGTGAGCTTTTACTTACACAGGTTAAGCTCTTGTAGCTTAACAAGCATCAAAAGCAAGGACAGAAATGGCCTCATTTCAGTTGAAATAAAGTCTGTGGGCATACATTTCAAATTTACTCCATGATCAAGTATTTTGCAGCTAAAAATAAGCTTATATTTCTTTTGAAGAGGCAAAATTTTACTCTTTATTTTGAAGAATATTTTTATGCACAAATAGGCCTATAGGAGAGATTAAGAAGCCAACACATGTCAACAAAAATTTTGTAACTGCTGGGTTTAATTACATGTGAGTCTGATCATGTCATTCAGTAAGAAAATGTTTTTACAAAATCTTATGATAAAATTGTGTTTTATAATTTATTTTTATTAATATTGCTTTGCCTTATGGTTTTAATAGCTTTCCTATTCAACATTGTCAATATATTTTCATGCCATAACATTAATTAAAATCGATTTATAACCTTAATTTAAAGTCAGTCTATGGAGACTACCTTTAAAAAATTAAATGCCAATTTTAACTTGAACTAATTATTGGTTACATTTCCTTATAACTTCTAAAAATTTATAAAAATGATTTATCTCAAAGCTAAATTTAACCATTTTTTCATAAAGAACATTTGGCAAAAAAGTCATTTTTAGTTTCAAATGGGAAAACCACTCTTGCACTTATCTGTATTGTAATGGTACATACTGTACTTATTACCATCTTACACAGTGAAATCTGCAGTAAGACTTGTAGGCACCTTAATATCCTCTGTCGGGAAGGGGACCCACTGAAACGAACCTAGGTTCCCAGCCAGCCACCGTGCCTGGGAGGTTTAGGCTTAAGAGAAATGTCCAATGAATGGCCATTGAGCCACCAGGGGGCAGCACTAGGGCATGGATTTCATAAGGAATAAACGAAAAAGGAAAAGGCAGGTAACGATGGTATTCAACAAATATGTGTTGTGCATCTTGAGTGCCAAGCACCTGAGGAGCTTCCATTCCCAGAGAGTGGAGTGGTGCTAACCAGCATCAAAAGCAAAGTTGCCTACTTCCAGTTCTGCCTATAATATTATCTCTCCCAAATACCCGTGTCCACCTATTAATAACTTTTGTGTTTTTCTCCATGTTTTGCTTCTAGCCGCTCTTCCTGTTCTTAGTCCTACTTCTGGATGGATGAGAGTTCAGGTAAGGCTCTGATCGCTTCTTAGTGGAACAAAGAAATGGTCACTATTGGCCACTCCTTTCTTAAAATGATAGGTATCATGTCAGACTTTTCTCCAATCAGTGTCATGGTAGCAATGCATTTATTTCTTCTGGGCCTACAAAGCCTGAAATATTTCTCATCTGGTCCTTTACAGAAAAGCTTTCCGGCCCTAGATCTCATCCATCATCATCTCTTCCTTGCACAGATTCAGAAGACTCCAAGTCATGCACGATCAGCTCCTATTTCTTCAGTCACCTGGGGCCTGGTTTTCTCTTTTTCAAACACATTAAGTCCTGTCCCTCTTCAGGACTTTTATTCTTGCTGCATCCTTTACCTGGAATGCCTTTAAAGGTTTGTTCCCATCCTTTAGACCTTATCTCAGATATCCCTAACCAGAGGGAGTATGCTATAGTTATACTCTGTCCCCAAATCACCCTCTTTCTTTCCCTCAGAATAATCTTGCATATTTATCTGTTACCAAGTTATTGTCTCCACTAGAATGGAAGCTTCATGAGGCTGGGTGCCTTACTGTCTTGCTCATCAGTGACTGGCACACAGTAGGTGCTCAGTAATATTTTTTTATTGTGATAAAAACCACATTACATAAAATTTACCATGTTCAAGTGTATAGCTCAGTGGCATTAAGTACATTTGCATTGTGGGTAACCATCACCACCATCCATTTCCACTTTATCCTCCCCACCCCTCCTACCCCCAGTCCCTGGCAACCGCCATTCCACTTCCTTCTCTATGAATTTGATTCTTTGAGTATTCTGGGTACCTCGTGTAAGTGGAATCATACAGTATGTGTCCTTTTGTAACTGGCTTATTTCACTTAGCATGTCTTCAAGGTTTATTCATAGTGTAGCATGTGTCTGACTTTTCTTCCTTTTTAAGACAAAGTAATATTCCTTTGTATATACAAACATACATATATATGTGTGTGTATATCTATATTATATATCACATTGTTTATTCATACATCAGAGTGCACACTGTAGGAATTTCTTAATTAAAAAACAAATCTTCTCAATAGTGAACATTCCCTGGGTCTCTTAAATTAGGCTTACCTGAACTTTACAATTACACCTAATATACAGTTAGTATATGCTTAACTTTGAATCTAAAATTCGCACTAGCAAAATCAAGAGAATAATTGGCAGCAAACTCCAGGGATTTTATAAGACAGCCATTAGAAAGCAGTAGGGTGGGCTGCTTTTTTTTTTCTTTCAATTTTTACTATTGAATATCAACCCTATATATAAAAGTAGACAATAATATAGTGTCCCATATAATCATTGCCCAGCTTAACTAACACCTCAGTACTTCACCTTTAACTTCACTCACTTCCTAAATTATTGAGAAGCAAATCATGTTGTCTGTATTTCAAATGTCTCCCTAAAAGATAAGTAAATGACTTTGATATCTTGACATTTTATCAGAACATTTTGTTCATGGTGGTATCAAACATATCTGTAAGTTTGTCATATAATTTGATAGAACTTCATTAATAAAACAAATTTTAAATTTAAAAGGATTTATAAATGTCTGATTATTTTAAAAATGCAAACCCTGAAGAAATAACCTGTCAACATTTAGCCACAAAAAAAATAAAAAATGTTGGGTTACAAGGTGACCGTAGTTCTTCATGTAACTGGCGCTTGGGCAAGGAACTGGGGACCGAGTCTGCTGCTCTCCATTCAAGGAGTGTAGGAATCACCAAGAGCTTGTTTAAAAAGCAGATTCCCGGGCCCCACTTCTGTAGATTTCTGATTTGGTAGGACTGGGCTGGGACCCAGAAACAAGCATGTCTAAGAAATACTAAACATGATTCTGATGAGGGGTCTGAAACTGGCTAAAAACCTTATTTCTGACTTTTGTACTGGTTTTCCCCATGGCTTTGCTATTTAACATTTGTGCCTGTGAATATTCTCTTGGGTGAAATTTTCATGTACTAACCAGATAAATACACTGTATCTCAGCATTTCCTTCCTTTATTCTCGACTTTAATTGATAGACATTTTCTCCACACGTTTACATGGTCATCTATTGTTCTATTGTCTTACAGGTGAGCATGGTCAGTTTTCATGGTCTTTGATAACTTTGATTACTTTATTGGTTCCCAAATACAACAGTCTCAGTAAATCAGGATGACGTTGGCTGGAGCAATTTACAATACATGTGCATTCACTATTCCTGAGGACAAGAAAAAAGGTAAGAATATATTATCTTTTTTGGTAAATTCATAAATTCTTTTGTATCAGACTATGGTTATAGCAGAATACAATTGCAATTTGGTTCCATTTTCTTAATTTAAAAACAGCATCTAAATCAGCAATGCTTTAGTAACAGCGATCTTCTTGGAGAATCATTTTATGCTATCTAATTAAAATTTCAGTTTCACAGTGATGGAGCCAAAGCTAAAGGACAGATGGAAAGAATAAAAGGCCTGAACATGAGGAAAATGTAATAGAGGAAAACACAGAAGAAAAGAAAGCTGATTTTAGTTATTTATCTAATTTCATTAAATGGCAGTGCTAAATCGAAGATGATCAGAATATGGCATACAAAATAGGCTACTTTGGCAAAAGGATTATTTTGAGCTGGTATCTCTGTCTTTTATACCAGGGAGGGAAAAACAACCTTTATCACAGATCAAGATGACGCCAAGATAAGTCTGCGTAAGCAAAACCTTACTAAATAACTCTACCTTCCATTAGTTTCCTGCATATATTTCCTTTCCCACAATTTACTACCCCTAGAAGCCCAAACTCCTTTTACTTTGTCTTGTCACTTCTCCATAATCCATCACCCTTTGTTAACATGGTATATAAGTCCCCCTGAGTTTAACTGCTTCTTTGCATCTTCACTTTATGTGAAGGTTTCTGTGCATGTAAAAATATTAAAATATTAAAATATAATTGGTATGCCTTTTCTCCTGTGAATCTGTCTTTTGTCAGTCTAATTTGCAGGCCAGAGCCATAGAAGCTAAGAGGATAGAGGAAATTTTGCCTTCCCAACATAATTATTTGAGAACTTAATCCACTAGGCATTTGCTCTCACAGTTTTCTTTTAAGTGGGAAGAGATAGTGGTAAAGTAGAAGGAACTTTGACTCTTGAATCTACTAAATGTATGACCATTGGCGTGTGATTCAAACTGTGCGCCTCCATTTCTCCATCTGTAAAACAAAGACAGTCAGTAGTTCTAATTACTTAATGTAAGTAATTACTTAATGTAGTTGTTTTGAGGGTTAAATAAGAGGAAATATGTAAAATACTTAGCGTAAAGTGGAGCCTTGGTGACATTCAGTTTGTTTTGTTGCGTATCTCTATTGTTAAAGTAAAGATTGTTGGAAAGAGGTGTTTAGGGAGCAGGACGGGTAAATGTGGGTGGTGCTGTTCTCCTCTGGGTGAGGCTGCCACAGAAATCCATAGCGGTCTCATTGTGTTCGCCGGCAGTTTTGCACAAAGGGTTTGCAATTGAAAGAGGAATCTGAGAAAAATCCAAGATCCCAGAGTATAAAATAAGAGCACAGAAGGGAAAGGACTATCATTGTGGGTATTGCTGAATGGTTTAGAAGAAGAGGGAAAGAGCATATCTGATTGCCAATATGAAGCAGGAGCTTGCACCCAATAATTCTGTTTTAAGGGCCCCTATTAAGGAAAAAATCCAAAATACATAAACACAATCAAGTACACAGGTGGTCGTCTCAGCCTTAAGAGACAGAAAAACTAAAAAACAACCTGAATAACCAAAAATTGTAAATTAATTAACTTATAGTATTTTTATGAGGGAGTATTACTTAGCCACTGTAAACAATACAGAATAAGTATTATCAGTTCAATTATTTAAGAAAAAAGTGCACAGATGAAAAAAGACCTGAAGAACATACAAAACAGTATAAAAGTACTTCATAGTGGGGGGTGGATTATAAATGTGGAATTTCAATGTTCTTCTTTTCAGTAAAGTTGCCTATTTTGAAACCTTTAAATAGGCTTCAAAATTAAATTGCAGTATTTCTTGGTTTTAATTTTGAATGATAATATATGTGCAGTTAGAATGTTGGTATATATAAAGTACAGATTATGAACAGTAGTAGTAGAAAAATTCTAATAAAAGTGAACCAAGTCTAAGTCTAAAAACTTAGCATATCTACTTTTGTGCCCCTTTCCTAGTAGGTAGTATGCATATGCAGTGTGTTACTCCAGAATGTCCAGAGGGTTTTTGTGCTACTTTTATAGTTAAAATAAGCAAAGTTTAAGTTTTATTTCAGTAATGCATGCATCAAAAAATTGTATGTGCAAACTGATATTTGTGAAAAACAAGTCTCCCTCCAACTCCACATTCCTAGGCTCTAAAATCAGAGACAACTACAGGTATGGCTGGCCTATTCTTCTGGAGATATTTTACCTGAATACAAGACATGAGGGTTATTCTAAAGGTCAAGTTATGTAAGGAAGGCTCTTTTGAAGCTGTTTTTGAATGAACATGCTGATTTTTAAAGATTGGGTTAGATAGGCTGTTAGTCCAACCTTGTGTTCCAGCTGTATTTTTTGTTATTCATGCAAGTATCACAAATAGTTTCCATAGATATAATTTATTCATCACAGTCCTAAATTTTAATTCCAATATAGAATTAATGGCATGTTTACCATTTATTAGATTAATGGCTCAAAGAATCATTCCTTTCTCTGATTTTTGTTTTCCCATAACAGAAAGCTTTTTGGCTTGAAGTACTTTCCGTACAAATTTTTCCCCCTTTAATATCTTTGTTTTTTTTTAATCTTGCTCATTTTACTACGTACTTTAGGTCCATACCAGGAGAAATATTTCTACTGTGACTTCGGGAATTTCTTCAAAGTCTTCTACCTGAAGATGTCATTTGTGTGACCCAAGGACATTAGACTAAAGCATCCGGAATGTACAGCACAGAACAAGCAAAAGAAACTCCACTACAACTCAACTGTACTCAGATAATGAAGAATACAACCTTTTTCCTCAAACAGAATAAAACAATGGAGCACATAGTCTAGAAAGCGAAAGAAAATCAGATACGTTATTTGTATTAGTTTCAAAACTTCAGTATCCTAACAGACCTGGCATGTTTACAATTACTTGTTGTAGGAAAATAAGGTTTAAACACAATTTGCAGTACATATTGTATAAAATGAGATATACTGGTTTCCACTATATAAAAAAGCCAGAGAATCTCAATTTATGGAAATAAATTAGATAAATAATTTTAAACATTTTGTGACTCTGAGAAGATAAATTAATATTCACTAGAATGCTGGATTAACCATGCCAACAGCAATTCATGTAACAAAAGTTCCAGTAAAGCCTCAGTAAATAATCAATTAGAATCATTTAAAATAAACAAAAGATTGAGTAAAAATACTCCTGGCAGTAGCACTAGTTTTATTTTTAAAAGATCATTCTTACTACAGCTATAGCTGAAGGTATAAAACATTTGCCAGAATAATGGTCTAAAGGATACATGGTTTTTAGTATTTTTGATTTCATGATTACTTTGAACGTTATTGTTCAGAAAAATCCTGATTTTCCTTTAGAGGTAATTTTACTAAGTTGGCTGCAAGACTTCTCAAAGTGATTTTACAATATCCCAAGTTCTTAGATTTTATTTTTCCTGTGGGTACTTTTCTTTCCTGTGATGATCAGCTAGAAAATAAGATTAACTAGTATTTATTTTACTCTTAAATTTCTAGGTGTACACTTACCTTATGAATTGCTATGTAATTTCTGCTTAAGTTAATGACCTTCTCTGGGACCCCACAGTGTCACCGGTAGAGGTGATCTGTAACAGGGATTCTAACCTCCTCTCCGTCCCTGCAGACAGGACGGTCCCGGTAAGTCACCATCGGCCCCGCTGCCTCCCCCAGCTGCTCAGTGATGCGGCCTGTTGTCTGCTTTCTCCTTCTTCAGGGAAATCATTGATCTAAGATGACTTTTAATCCTAAAAAGTCTGTGAGTCTGTACTTATCAAGAGATCAAAAATAACCATCTGAAATCATGCAACCTTAAGATGGATGTTTTTCTCTCCTTTCATGTAGCCTCTATTAAGCACTGTGCAGAGCTCTGATACAACCGACAGGGTTCCTGAATTAAATCATCTTTTTGTGAGATTCTTCATTAAAAACCAAACAAAAACATACAATTTAAAGAAAGGGTAAAGTCTATGCTACCATGGCTTTCAGGTACATTCTCTGCCTACCACTCATCCCTGTCCATTTGATGAAATTAGTAAGAAATCTGTACAACAAATTAAGAGTAGCATCTGACAGGCATTGCACAACGCTTTAGTCCCAAGCTTTCAAAGAAGGTAAGAGGTCAAAGCTTAAGTTTACACATGGTTTGGCTACTCCAAGATTCTAGGCTATAGCTAGGTTTACTGGTTACCTGCAAAAACATGTTAAGGTGAGATAGCTCACTAAGATACAGAGGTATCTGTAAGGACAGAATGTGCTGGCATCTCTTTTATCACTCTAGGGACCTACCTATGACATTATTTGTATAGGTTGAGCAATTTATATCTACAGTATCAGCTATTTAATTTTGGACAAGTTTTTAAGTGTCATTGGCAAAATCAGACCAGAATTTCAATTTTGAATATATAGTGTAAATCTCTTTTCCCTAAACTATAAACCCTTTCCCCTGCTTTTCAGAAACATAATTGCATAATTCAAACTCCTTCAATACAGTGACCTAGTTCCCCCTCTTGATGTTATAAACAGCTCATGTAACTATGGTAACCATCCAGGGAAAATTGAATGTTTTTCTGGTCAGCAATATGCAAAGTATACCATATGTGCTATTTTTTTCTCTCTGGGATAACCAAAGTGAGTCATACATGTTTACTGTTCTCCTCAGTTAGGGGAATATTTTATGATAACTGAATTTTCTCTTGACTACAGTCCCAGTCATTTATAGTCCTTTTATTAAAATGTTTTACAATCGTCTCTTGCTGTTAGTAGTCATTCTAAATCCTGAACAGTATCATAACCTTTAGTAGGATTGATTGAATAACCAGCTTAAAATCTGGCAATCTACTGTGTAAATGAAATGTACAGGCTGACATTGCTCAGATTTCTAATATTCCATCTTGACAATCTGGTATTTTCTTTGTCATTCAGTCCTTGCCAAAGCATCTCCTTAAGGCAAAAAACTAAAATGAATTACATCTTGGGGGTATACTAGACACTGAGAAGAGCTATCTCCAGAGTATAGGAAGTTTTCATGTATTTTTTTTAGCTCTATTTTATTTTTCTATCTATAATTAGTGTGTACTACTTATGCAATAAAAGCAATTAAAAATGCTTTAAAACTGAGCTCAGTGAAGATGTAGGCTGTATTGGTTTTTTTTTTTTTTAGTTGCCTGTTATACTAATGAACTGATTTAAAGTTTTAGGTTTTTTCAGTATAATTTAAAATGCTTCACTGGACCTTCTAGACCAAATTACCCTCTAAATAAAAACTCTTAAATTTTTAAGGATTTATTTGCATTAGGTAAAAATTACACTTCTACAGTGGACTGTCAGTGGGTGGCCTTTTAATATGAGGATTCTGTTTATAAAGTGATTTTCCTGAATTTCCTCTATTTTTAATAGTGCTTTTCAACTATCCAAAGATCTTCCTTAGAAAAAACATTGTTATCTATCTGCTTCACTGAATTAAATAGGGAATTAACTGCCTCTTACTGGTTTAGAAAAGACCTTACTAACCAAATGTAAAGTGCCAAACTTATTTGGATCCTGTTGAACAAACCAAGTGTAAAAAAGACTGATGACACAATAGGGAAATTTGAAATTTGAGTTGTCTGGATATTAAATGATAATGTAATTTTTTTTGATGGGATAATAGTATTGTGGATGTTTTTTTAAAGAAAAACATCGCTCATCTGTTTATATTTGAAGTATTTACAGATAAAATATTAATAATCCAGCAAGAGTAAGGAACTAGTGGAGGGCTATAGATGAAATTATATTGGCCATATGTTGGAAAGTGTTCATGCTGAATGACTGGTATATTAGGATTTATTGTAGTATCTCTATTTTTGTGTGTGTTTGAAAATTTCTATGTTAAAAAAAATTACAAAATAGGGAAAAAAAGGATTTCAAAATTAATAGGCCTGACTCAAGCAGTAACTGAATTTTCTCAGGAGGTAAGTTTAGGAATCCTTCAGAACTACCTGCTAGTTTTGTTTTACATCTGTTTGAAGTTGTTGCTCTGCCCTCTCACAGTATAAATAGGGGCTCCAGGATGCAGATTTAGAGGCATAAACCTTTCCTACCAGGAACCTCTTAGAGTAACTGATTTAGAAATTAAAGGTAATCCCAGACATTTCTGCTACTCTGGCGGTGTCAGTTATCTTTTGTAGGGCTACTTTATGGTAGAAAATATATTCAAGAGGAAATGCCTTTTTGCTTTATTTGTAAGATTAAACATTACCAATTAACTTCCATATTGCAGAAAACGGGGGACCTTAAGTATTGCATTCAGCAGAGTAAGGGAATCCCAATTTGAAAAGGCCCCAAATTTCCAGCTAAGTGATTACTAAGAAAAGGACATGATAAATAACCAAGCTCAAGACTTGAGTTTGGGGAGTATGGTGATTTATTTTTCCATGTCAGTACTATCCCCACACAGTCTGCTGTCACAAGCATAGCAGGAATAAACCTCTGATTAACTTTTATAAATTAATATAGCAACTTTAGCATGTGTCTGAAATACTTCACAAACATACGTATAACCACATTAAGGTGTTCTTTACAGGTCTAGACCACCACAAGCTGAGAAATCTTTATTTGAATTTTTTGCTTCCTTTCAGCCTGTCCAACAGTTACGAAAGGTGAAAACAAGGCTATAAAAGGTATCCCTTCCCAGGCATCCTTCCTGCCTCTCCTCTGTCCTGGGGTCCTGGAGGGAAGAGTACTCTAGGCATTCTGCATCAGTGCCTTTTCGCACTTCTCGTTTGTAACCACGTGTCCTGTCTGCCTGCAGATCACCTCTCAGGTGGAATGAAATACACTGGTGCATGCAAGGTCTCACCTGAATCAAATAACAAAACACCTTGCATTATTTTGGGGGCGCTGATTCAAATCTGTAAGTAAATAAAAACAGTAGCGGTTCAGGCAAAAGGAGATAAAATTCAATTCTTAATGTTTTTGTTTTTAACAATGATTGATTTTTGACAAGACCTGGCTGTTTAGTCTGAAATATTTAAAGAATGACAACAGTAAAATTCCTAGACGAAAATACAACACACTATACTGCTTGGGTTGACTTAATATTCGGGTAGTAGAACCTCAAAATGTCACAGGATGGTAACCCAAGACAATCTGTGAGTTCTGGGCAATGCATTTTTTGTTGTTCTCAAGACGCCCTATTCCTTTGTGCTTTGTTTCGGTTTCGATCAAATTTTCCTTTAGATCAAGGTCTAGGTTTCTCTCTGCATGTCAATAGTTACATTCTATTAACAACCGTTTCAAAAGCACTCTAACGGGTCACCATACAGGTAACATCACCGCGGAGACCGCGATGGACAGGAGGAGGAACCCAGTTCATCCCCGCTCGCGTCTTCTCTTTAACTCGGAGGTACCATTCAGAACCGGGTTTGCTTACATAGGCATTCCATCAGAATTCTCCCTGGAGTTGTTCTATTTAACATCCATTTCTTTCAAAAAACGCACGTTACGAAACACTGAGTCCGTCGGCATTACGAGCTCCTCCGTTCGGCATTTCATGTAACACTGAACAGCGATCAAACGCTGACGGCCGAACGCGTCGCTGAGGCCGTGGGTCGCTGACGGGCTTTGGCCGCACCCCCACTTGCCCTCCTTACCCCTCCGCCCCGAGTGTCTCCCAGCCCTCGGGTGGGAGCGGGCCAGGCGGCGGTGCCCGGGCGGGCCTTTACCGCTGTAACGTCCAGACCCCCGGGGGAGAACAGGTTTTTAGAAGGGAGGTCTGGTGGACAAACACGTCTCGGGGCAGATGCCTCCGGACGGACCAGGGGGTCCTCCAGGGCCGGAGGGCGGGCCAAACCTCCAGGGGCCTCGGCGACGGGAGACCTCCCGCGTCTAGGGGCGGGAGCACGCCGGAGCCGCGAGGGAGATTTAAAAGGCGGGCGGACTGCCGGAGACAGAGCACCGCCTACCTCGGCGATCAGCCCCCGGCGCCCCACGAGCCCACAGGCCGCGGCGGGAGGAGGGCCGGAGCCCGCGAGCTGCGCGAAAGCGGCGGCGGCTCGGCGGGAACTCGGCGCCGCGCATGCCCTGAGCTGCGCCCACTGCACGCCGGGTCGCGTAGCGCCGCAGGCCTCCCTCCAGCCGTCAGCCCGCAGCGACCGCGGAGGCGCTCTTTAAGGCTCGCGAGTTGCGGCGCTAGATCCAGCTGCAGGGGAAAATGTGGGTAACACCGGGCCGAGGAAGCTGGGCCAGGCTTCCCCCTGCCCGCGGGAAGGACGGAAACGAGGAGCCCAGCTCCTCCCCTCTCCAGCCCCATTCACACATTGAGCTGAGAGGCGGGCTTGACACCGCTTCCCCTTTAAGAGGGGGCGGGGCGCAGCCTGTCGTTTGGCCGCACCCCGCACTCTCCTCCCGGGCCGAGAGTTGACAGACCAATCGCCCGGGTGGCGGAGGGAAGGCGGGAGAATGCGAACCCGTCGGTAGGGCGGTAGGGGTGGGCCTCCGGCCTTATTAGGAGGGAGCCCTGCGCAGGCGCAGAGGCGGCCGCAGGCGGAGGGGCGGGGGCAGTCCGGTGAGAGACTACGACAGGCTCGGAGGGTGATTGGGAGGAAAGGGGGCAGCAAGCGGCTTGTCATGGGGATCCGAGCTACGAGACGGCGGTGGTAGCATCTGGGGACTCTGAGGGCGACAGGAAGTGTCAGCGCCTGGGACCCCGGCGGCAGCTCCGCTTGGGGGATCCCCGCTGTTCCCGTACTGGGGAGGGAGGGGCAAGGAGGGAGCCCCGGTCTCGCCCCGCCCCTGGGCTTGTTACCGCGGGGGCGGGGAGTGAGGCTTCTGCGGGGAGTGGAGATCGGGGGACTCGGCTGTGCCCTCCGGAGCGGCTGCCGGTGTTCCCGAGGGCCGGGCTGCGGAGCAGGAGCCGCGGCGGCCGCGGCTGTTGCATGTGTGGCTGCTGGATGCGGAGGCGGCGGCGGCGGCGGCGGCGAGGAGCAGCAGCAGCGGCGGCAGGATGTTAGGGCAGCAGCAACTATACTCGTCGGCCGCGCTCCTGACCGGGGAACGGAGCCGGCTGCTCACCTGCTACGTGCAGGACTACCTCGAGTGTGTGGAGTCGCTGCCCCACGACATGCAGAGGAACGTGTCTGTGCTGCGAGAGCTGGACAACAAATATCAAGGTAGAGGGCCCCAGGGTGCCCGTGCGTCCTCCCCCGACTTGATCCGCCGGCCTCCGGACTCGGTCGCTCGGAAGCCGCCCGGGGAAGTGGCACTTTCCATTTCTCCTGTGACAGTCTCTCCGAGTGCACAGACGGGGTCTGGTGTGTGGGACCGGGCACAGGGGCTGGGGGCCTGAATCGAGGCCCTCCCTCCCCCCGCTGCGGTCGGCGAGGACTCCGGTGGGGTATCGGGTGGGGATGGGGGTGGGGGCCGCTCGTCAGCCCCCGCTGCATACCCAGAGGCTGCAGCTGTGTGGACGGGAATCAGCCATTTTAAGCAGCATTTGCTCCGAGGCTTCCTGTCGGGTGCCGCAGACCCTCCTGCCCCGGCAGGGAGCGTGCTGCCAGGCGCAGGGCTGTAGGGAGGGAGCGGTCGGCCGAGCCCGGGCTCCCGCTGGTCTCTGGGGCCTGGCTTCCCTGCCCCTTCGGCCCCCACCCCATGAGAGCAGATGCATTGGAACGTGCGGGGTGGAGGGGGCGAGAGACGGCCGCGAAGGCGGACTTGGCGGAGGTCCCCTCCCTCCGCTCTCCGGCTCCCGGCCCGGGAATGAAAGAGTCCTTTCCCCTCTCCCGCCCCAGGGGAAGTTCCGGGCCGCAGCCCTGGCCCCGCTCCTTCAGCCGAAGAGTTAAAAGGGGAGGGGTCCCCGCAGGGAACGGGAGGGGGGCGTGTGTAGCGGGGAGGTCGCCCTGCCCCTGGGGGCGGTGCCTGAGGGCGTGACGTAGAGCATGGGAGCGGCCCGGGCGCCCGCGCTCCCGCCCGTCTGGAAAATGGCTGGTCGCGGGAAGGTTTGGGCGGAGCTGGCTAGTTGCGAGGGGGCCGGAGCCGTGAGGGACGTTAGTTTGTCACTAGCAGAGTCAGTGTTGAGGCCTGGGACATAATTTGTTGTGATTTTTTTCCACTCTTTCCTGTCTACTCAATCTCGAGGACACAAGCTACTGGGACCGTCGCTGACCCTAGCATCCTGTAGGTTCCGGGCCTGGCGTCACTTCCGGGTCCCAGAAAGCAGTGGGTGGTTGACTGGGCAACCGCCTAGCGTCCCTTAACCCCTGGGTCCCTTCTCAGTCAAGTTTAGGAGATGAATGCGAAAACCACCCTTTGTGGTCAGACCCAAGAAGCTAGGACAGTATCATTAATACTGGTGGACCTTTCACCTGCTGCTAGGAGGGGAGAAGTTTAAATGGGGCGCCGTTTTGCGTTTAATAGCCTGGAATCAAGGAACAGACCTGGGACAAAATGTGGGAACAGCCATATGGTCTTAAAAAGATAACTTCTTGGACCCATTCTCTCGTTTTGTAGACACGTCACTAATCTTATGATTTACTCTCTAAGGAACCCACTTCTGGGGTGACATTTTCTGGCCTGTAGCACGTTAGAATAAGTATCTCATGTTTTGAAATCTGTAATTCTGACTTCTGAACCCATATAATTAATAGAACTGATCTTTGTTAGAGGGGAAGAGAATTAATACTAATTACTTACCGTGTGGAGCATTGTCTCATTTAATTCTAACAATCACCCAATGAAGTAAAACTTTTATTTTTAAAAATTATTCAAGAAATTTACAGATAAAATTTACAAGGATTTTTAATTGTTCAATTAATTAGGTGGGCAATATTTGACTCCAGAGCCTGGCTACTTCAGATGCACAACCAAATAATACTAACTCTGAAGTTTGTAAAGCATGCAGGTTTTTACATTTCTTTAAAGACACATGACTTGCCGTCACAAAATTAAGCTATTTTCTTTAAATTCAAATTGAAGAGTGACATTTTGTTACAGAGAAATCTGCCATCTTGACCACCTAGAATTCTCATAAGAATTCTGGTAACATGAGAAAGAGTATTAGGGCTTAAAAGATAAAAGAGATTATGAAAGTTTTGAGCTCCATTAAGATTGTGGTGAGTTTCAAGATTAATATAAAAACAACTATCTAGTTTTTACTCTGTGCACATGCTTATTGAGCTCAGCTTTCACAGTTCTGTGTTTATTAGCTTTGTGCACTCCTGTGTTCTTGGTTCAGATTTGATATGTTTTTTATTTCTTCTTAAGTATTTTCTATTTTTGGATCTAATGTTTACTGCAGTATTTAGTGATATAAATTATGTAGGCAGGCAAAGAAGTTTCTCTCCTACCTATTTGAGACACTTTTAGAAATTACTGAAGAACTTTAAAAGTGATCTTAAAAGCTTTTAAAAATGGAGAAATGAAGACAATTTCACAATTGAATTAAGTGTTTAATATGGGATACGGTTATTAGAGAGCCTTAATTTTTGTTCCAGTATTATTGTTCATAATTTATTGGGTAAATAATCATCGAACTAAACTTTAATACCTAATTTCAAGTACATTTCATGCAGCTTGGTAGAAAGTGCTTAAAGGCAGAGCCAGATATACTTATCTGTCATAGTTCAAACTCTGAGGTCGTTACCTCTTGGACTTCATTTCTTCATGTATAGAAGTATGTCTTCCTCTTGAGGTTGCCGTGGGGATCGAATGAGAAATCCTTCATCACATGGAAGGGGCTTAGTGTTAGTTTCCTGTCTACTTATAATTAAGGTGTCTTTAAAACGTGATTTTTTATCTCCTCTAAGTATATCAGTGTGCTGGTGTGACATAATTAGCTTCTAATTCCTGATTCTTAAATACAGAATATTTGAAATAAAGCTTGCCTTTATTTTACTTATTTTTTTATTGAAGTATGGTTGATATACAATCTTATTTTGGTTTCAAATGTACAACACAGTGGTTCAACAGTTATCCATGTTATTAAATCCTCACTCCTGTAGTGCAGTTACTAGCTATCAACATAGAAAGATGTTACAGGATCATTGACTGTATTCTCCATGCTGGACTACCGTCCTGTGCCCAACTTATATTGTGATTGTGAATTATTGTGCCCCTTCATCTCCCTCACTCTCTCTCCCTCCACCTGCCCCAACCCCTCCCCCTTGGTAACCACTAGTCACTTCTCAGTGTCTGTGAGACTACCCCTGTATTGTTCCTTTGTTTTGCTTTGTTTTTAGATTCCAGAAATAAATGAAATCATATAGAATTTGTTTTTCTCTGCCTGGCTAATTTCACTGAGCACAATACCCTCTACATCCATCCATGTTGTTGCAAATGGCCAGATTCCTTTTCTTTTCATTTGCTTTTATTTTTTAACCCCCAAATTTTGTGTGTCTGAGGGGAAAATATATAATTTCCTTATTTTCTCTAGAGGAAAATTATGTTCTTAAGAAGTCCACTTTTATACCTCGCGGGACAAATGGGCTAGATATGAACTTTGTTTAGAAATATGCTACACAGGTATGAATACCCTCAGTGTGTGGTCACACCTTGTCCTGTGTCCCAGGTCAGCCAGCTGTCCATCATGTGTGAGTACCTCTGGTTTCCCTGGGTAAGCTAATGCCTAAGAGTTGTGTTGAATCCTTGCTTTGTGTTCCCCTTGCTTGCATACAGCGCCAGTGCATGTATTTCACTTGCCTCACATTTCTGATCTTATCATTAGAATAGTAATATTGGAAGGTTATGCCATGTGCTGCTAATAATATTGCAATATAAAACTGCTATGCCACGTGGCATGATAAAGGAGAGTTCATTTTTCTTTCTCCCTATTTAGTAAGGTAGAACTCTTTCAGAGAGCATAATATTGCATAAAGATAAGAATAGACTAAATTTGAATTAAAAACTAATCTTAAGTTTTGGTGACAACTGTATTTTCAGATTTTCATGTACATTCTATGGACTCAGCTATTTTTAATTGATGTAAGTGTTTTCAATATGCTGTACAGTACCTAAATCAGCAGTTCCAAAAGCTTAGAACCACCCGCCGAGTTCTCTACAAAAGCAGAGTGACCCAATGCTGACTTCACTGTCATTTTGTTAGTAGCTTAGTCAGTTGAACCTGAACCTAACCCTATTCTGGAAATAGTTCATTTTCAGAATCTCGCATGTGATGCAATAAAAGCGGGTAAAACCAAAACCAATGTAACGGGAAGCTAAGAGTTGCTTGTGTCTTCTTTGTTTAAAGATGTCCAGGGGTGTCATATGTAAGTAAAGGTGTAGTCTCTCTCTGAACCTTGTAGCAGGTCATTCATTGAACTGTAAATCCTGTAAACACAGTTAGACAGTAATCTTTAGCCTAGTCTTGAAACCTCTTTAAGTTTTATACTAGAGTCCAGCATGTAAATTTTATATACAGAATTGTTGTGAAGTTCAAATGAAGTAGAGGTAATATAGCACTAAGTAGACTCCAAAGGGCATAGAGTGTCCTGGCCCATGTAAAATACTTGTGATTATTAACCATACAGCTCTATCCTTTTAAATTAATGACTATTAGAGGTTGTGTTCTTCCTTTTAAAGGAAACAATGATTTTTAATGTGTACATACTATCAAGAAGTGTGATTTTATAGTTTGAGTTTGTTCTAACTTTACCAATTCTGTGAGAGAAAACTCGACAGTGTTGCATAATGCATAGTAACTGTTCAAATTTTTTCTTCCCTTTTTTAGAAACATTAAAGGAAATTGATGATGTCTATGAAAAATATAAGAAGGAAGATGATTCAAATCAGAAAAAACGCCTACAGCAGCATCTCCAGAGAGCATTAATCAATAGTCAAGAATTGGGAGATGAAAAAATTCAGATTGTGACACAGATGCTTGAATTGGTGGAAAATCGGGCAAGGCAAATGGAGTTACATTCGCAGTGTTTTCAAGATCCTGCCGAGAGTGAGCGAGCCCCAGATAAAGCAAAGATGGATTCCAGCCAGCCAGAAAGATCTTCAAGAAGACCCCGCAGACAGCGAACCAGTGAGAGCCGTGATTTGTGTCACATGACGAATGGGATTGAAGACTGTGATGATCAGCCACCCAAAGAAAAGAAATCCAAGTCAGCCAAGAAAAAGAAACGCTCCAAGGCCAAGCAGGAAAGGGAAGCTTCACCTGTTGAGTTTGCAATAGATCCCAATGAACCTACATACTGTTTATGTAACCAAGTGTCTTATGGAGAAATGATCGGATGTGACAATGAACAATGTCCAATTGAATGGTTTCACTTTTCATGTGTTTCACTTACGTACAAACCAAAGGGAAAATGGTATTGCCCAAAATGCAGGGGAGATAATGAGAAAACAATGGACAAAAATACTGAAAAGACAAAAAAAGATAGAAGATCGAGGTAGTAAACACCACCCACATTTTAAAGGGTTATTTGTCTTTTATATTATTCTTTCAGAATTTGCTTTCAGAAAATGTTTTAGGGTAAATGCATAAGACTATGCAATAATTTTTAATCATTAGTATTAATGGTGTATTAAAAGTTGTTGTACTTTGTCTGTGACCTTAATTTTCTGCACTGAATTACCAAATATTTTAAGCCAGGTAGTCTTTAGATCACCTGAAGAAAGGAACAGGGAATAGAGAGAAGGTGGTGTGAACCTCATGAAAACTTCACAAACCATGCCTATTTCATTTTTACTTCAAACTGCAATGCTGTATTTTGGGTGAACACCAAAGTTTTGCTAGCAATTAAATATAGTTGGGGTTCTCCGTAAGCACTCAGATTATCTTGGGTAATTTAATATGAACACTACCATTTAGAGCTTCTTTCTCCCTAGCCCCATTCATACATATACCCGTTCATCTCTAGTCTTCCAAGAATTTAAGGAGCTAGAGATAATAATTTGGGATTCCATGTGGAATAATGTACTCTTTTAGAGTATTTGCTGCTGTATTTTCCTTGGTAGCATTTTGATACACTGTCAGTCGCCCATCTGTACATGCCTTTTGCTGCTGCATCATAGATATACTTAATCTAGTGCTTAATAGAGAGCTGTGTTCTGTTTTGTTTTAATTAGGGCAGGTAAGAGTGGTTACAATACCAAAAATGCTGCCATTGGCAAAATGGTTATGTAGTATCACAGTTCGGTTTTGAGCAATTTTTAAAAAGTATCAGATTTAAAAATATTTTCCACATGACCCATTGCTGAGATGCCTAACCACAGACCTATCAGTGGGAAAAGGGCATATACTAGGCTTTAAATATTGCCTTCTGTCAAACAGGAGTTTAAATAGTTTTGCTAGTGGCTATAGTTCACTTCTGTCCCAATCAGTGATTAATTATTATGTTAAAGAATAGTGTATTTACTTTCTTAATATTCTGGTATTGGTGCTGTTTGATGTTTTCACATTTACTGAACTAATTTCATTATAACAATGCAATTAATAGTGTATTTGTAAACTGAATTTTCCAAGATTCTAATATTTTAAGGGTAGGCATCTTGATGGATATATATCCATATACTGGAATAATTTTTTGGTTTGGGGGAGTGGGCAGCGGATTGACTAGTCCTTTAAATCTATGTGTAACATGCTTTTTATTCTTCATTTCTTCCTGAACTGATTATATTGATTCTTTTTGATTGACGTGAAAAATCCTGTCTGCTTGTTTGGGAAAAAAAAAATGTTTTTTCCTCTTCCAGCTCTTCTGTGTGGCTTTAGGCATATTATTTTCCCTCACCTGGGTGTCACATTATTCATCTGTAATATGAGGTTGGTTTAAATATCTCCAAGAATCTTTTGAAATCTAGAGTATTTGCACTATAGTGAGGACTTTAATAATCAAATGACTTGCTTTTCTCTTTCATTAATGTCCTTCATTCTGAGATGGGGACACTTTAAAGATGAGCTTTGACACAGGTAAATGCACAGTATTTGATGAGCTTCTGTCCTGAGGATATTTTGAGTGATGACTAAAAACAGCTGGTTATTACTTCTTGAGCAAGAAACATTAGCATTATTCAGAATTTATTTTATGGTAACTTGGTTGAGTTGTAAAGAAACCCTTTTCTCTCATGAGAATATGGCATAGTGACTGCATCCTAATTACCAGGCTAGAGCTCTTTACCTGACATCGTTCAAAAGATCAGTATATGCAAAGTCTCCGAAAGCTTTCAGATTTGACTGTGAGAAACCTGCCCTTTTATGAATAAATTTGCCTTAGCATATGGGGAAAACAATAAGCTTCATAGTAGAAGTACCCAAATTTGGATTAGCCTTGATAGCAAAATAAACATGGAAAATCCTGGAAGACGTGTTCTTAAGACCTAAGGTTTAAAACTTTTTTAAAATATTAATTTCTTTTTGTTTTCCATCCCACAGAGGAAATGGAACTCTTTAGTTTGTGTAGCATTAGGACTGGGATTTCTTTTTCTAAGTATTATAGATTTCATGTACTTTCTGATAGCGTGATTACCCACTCACACTAGACACCAGTGGTTCATAAACTTATAACTGGAATTGCCTCAAGAGCCTCAAAAAATAGATACCTCTGTCCCATCCCCGGCAATTGTGATCTCATTCATTTGGAATGTGGCTTAAGCATTATAATTTTTTAAAGATCCCCTAGGTGATTGTAATATACAGAGAAGTTTCAGAAGCACTGCTATATTATGGAAATTTGAACCTACTGGAAACTGAGGTGGAGTCTCTACACGCAGCTGTGTACGACTGAAGCACATGTAAGTGCTGATACACACGCAAGAGTCTGTCCTTAACCAGAGCAGTTCCGCCAACACCTGAGGGCTAGACACTGTTTTAAGCAATGGTGGTTTAAAAAGAAGAAAAGGCCCTGCTCATGGAACATACATTCCGGTGGGTGAGTCAGTTACATATGTCAGTAACTGTTAACCACTGAAAGAGAAGTAAAGCAAAGAGAAAATAGTGAGTGGAAAGGGAGGTGAGGCTTTCAGTCATGGTGATTGAAGAAGGTCTCTGAGGAAATTATGTTTGAGCTGAGACCAGAAGGAAGGAAGGCAGAGATTCAGGGGAGGGAGGAGGAGAAAGAGCAAGTTTGCCAATCAGACGAGCGAGGAAGGGGCTGGAAAACGTCGGTTCTAGGAGGCATGGTAGAAAATTTGGGAAGGGTTTATAATGAAAGTATATAAGATCTTTATATTTTTTTGAAGGTCACTGGGTGCTGAGTGCTGAATTTATTGTAGGGGATGTTGGTGAAATGAGATTTAGGAGCATCCTCAGAAGTCTCTGTCCCAAAAATATTGGTGGCTTAGACTAGGGTGGTGGTCGTGGAAGTGGTGGCAAGGGGTAGGGCTCTTTCTAAGTGTTTTCAAGGTACTGCCAGTGGAAGGACTTTGGCCCAGGGATTGGAAAGCAAAGTGATGACAAGGGTGGCTCTTAGGTTTTTGGCTTAGGGGAAAAATCAAGATTTCTGTTTGCACTTGGGTTTGACCCGTCTGATAGCCTTCCAGTGTTCTAGAGGGACCCAGCGTGGAGTTAGCGGCTGACTTTAGGGGAGGGGACAGGAGATA